AAACTTGGCGGAATATTGAATAAGGTATTATACTTGACTCAGACTTGCAATAGTCTGCATCAGCAGAAAAGGATGCGGATGATGGAAGTGAATCGAAAAGGCCAATGTGGTATTTGGGATATTTGGTCCTAACTCAGTATCAGAACTTGGTGCAGATTGCTGATACCTTCAGATATTCACTTTGGGTGAAATACTGAGTCCATTACTACTAAATTACTTCCAATCTTGCCAGATTAAATTCTCCAATCTGCAAGTGATGTCAGTAGAACTCGGTGCTTTATTAAATTAATATTACTTTGGATACTGTCTGCAACTTTTGCTGGAGTCTTAATTAAATTTCCATGCATTTAGTAAGCTTAGCTGATAATAGTCCATCAACTAACACAGGAATCAACTGACACTACCGCTGAAGGTGTTGGCTAGCAGACTCAGACGTCTTCGGCACAGACGGCAGATATTGTCGATGTTTGATCAGGTTATGTTATGTCTTACTTATCATGAGTCTCTTGTTCAATTGGCTAGTTTCATGAGGACGGAATGATACATTCTTAGGTACCTACTATTACGATACCAGTCTAAACATTGCAGTATTACAATCATAAAATTGTCTGATATGGAAAATGTGATGGTCATTGTTACATAAACTTATTAGTTATGTATTTCAAGATATTATGGATTGGGTGTGAAAAAGATTGCCTTAGGTAGATAAGTTATCCATAGAGCAACTAAAACCAACCCTTTGGAATATTCTCTGTATTCTAGCACCTAGATTAACATTTAGTCCCAAAATTAACATCTCATTTAAAAAAAAAAATTGCAAAAATAATGTAAAATTTCAAAGTAGAGAAGTGATCTTAATTTGGAGAGCTGGGTAATCTGGACTTGAGTTGGACCCCGGGAGACAGGCCAGGTAGTATGCTCCAGACTGAGACTCCAGACTCTCACAAGACAGACCTGCCACAGCTTGCTGCTGGATCAAACTAAGCAGAGAATCGAAGGAAAATATGGACCAGGGGATGCTATTTTATCATGGAATGGAAAGATAGTTTACTTTTTTAGCAATGCTAACTGTGATATATTGACAGCCTGAGCTGGCTTAATGCCTCTGGTGGTATTTTTTCAAGCTGCGTTTCCAAGATGATTGTATAAGTTAGCTGAAGAATCGCAACATTTTACCAGTGTTCTAACCCCTGTCTTCTCCCAGGGGGCTTTAGGAGGATGAGCTTCGACTATATTTGGACAGCTCCAGCAGATGTACACCGGCAGCTTGTGTGATGGTGGCAGTAAGCATGCTGGGAGAAGGGATTGTTTATCACATTAGTTTAAAAGTGGCTGTATCGCTGATGTAGGTCAGTGTGCCAACTCCAGTCCACTGAACATGGTGATTTTGTTGGAAGACAATATCTAGGTCACTTTGACATTATAAAGGCATAAGTGTTGATTTATTTTCTTTCAAGTTCTCAAAAATGTCAAGGAGATTTTAAATCTGAATTATTCAAATTGTTTCATATTGTATGCAAGGGAGTGATCCTGATGTATTGCTCCTTGCTGTCAAGGATGTGCTGGCTTTCAGTTTATTTTAATTGGGTGTCTAGTAGTTTTCGTACTATATACCTGGGGAGGTGGGGTTGATAAAGTGGTGGCTCGTTACACTGAAGACCCGGGTTTGATTCCCCACATGGGTACAATGTGTGAAGCCCATTTCTGGTGTCCCAGACCATAATATTGCTGGAATATTGCTAAAAGCGGTGTTAAACTGAACTCACTCACTCACTACTATATAGCCAAATACATCAATCTTGCATTACTTAATCTCTAAACATTAAACAATGAGGCTGTTGTTGTTTTTTACTTTTCCCTCAGTTTATCAGTCCACTGATGTTGCGTTCTTGCCTGATCAGGTGCAGCCTGACTATCTCACTGTCTGTTGAAGCAGGTGTGTCAGGCATAAGCTGTCTCTAGCTGTTTATGATTTAGTGGTATACAAACTGGGCCAACACTGTTCAACAAAATTCCCTCATAAATTAATATCATGCCTGTGATGACTACAACTCACACATTCTCACACACATTCTCACACACACACTCTCAGCCACTTTCACAGATTCACACACTCACTCTTGTTTAGTATTTTTAGTTTAAGTAAAACTGATATAATTTTGTACCCTGGAAATTATGTATTGAATTCTAGGATACCAGTAATTTGACACAGTGTTAAAAATAGTTGCAACCAGACTCAGTTTTCAGTCAGAGATCAGACACATGGTGATGAACCATTATGGTGGTACATGGGTCGTTTCATTTTGTTGTGCACCTATGACTAGTGATTATTGATATCTTTACACTTTTAGCTTGCCGATAAAGTGTTGATGTACCATTGGTCAAAGGTTATACACTTGTGGTCACTTATGAACTAGGCATGACATTTGAACTTTGACCACCACTGTTAATAGTCTATTGATGGTTGTTACGATCAGGAACTGTAAGCAGTAAATTTCCGTACGGACAGGAATGATCAATCGAGGATTCCTATTCAAGGATCCTTGTCAGGCAAATAAGGGTGTTATTAAAGCTCTAAATTCATGTATACATATAATTATTACAATAAATGCAGGAATGTAAAATTAAGAATGAAAAACTTATTCTATTTGATCTTGTTATCAAAGTCGCCTCAACAGTCCCCATTATTTATAACTGTTTTCACATAATTGGATTTCTGTTTCACCCATTGGGAATTTTGTTTTTCCAATTGCTGTAGATTTATGTCCGCCTCTGAACTGGACGAGATAATCACTGACTGTCGTATGAATACTGTGCCTTACCAGCGTAAGAAGTCATCACCTTTGCCCCCACACCAACATTTCCAGAATATGTTGAATTTATTGATTTTTACTCGAAAAGGGAGACTTGTCCAGGGCCTGATATAGAAAACAATCGTGTAAAATTGTCAACTGGTGAAAAAACTAGTCTGCACTTAGAAGCAGGAAGAATAATTTGTCTTTCTAAAGCTGGAGGGATGTGGACTGGTTTATAAGGAGCTGCATTGTGGCACTCACAATAGGCCTTCTTCTCAATCTGTTGCTCATGTTATGAAGCTGTGTCCATTGGTTTGGTAAACCAGACCTGGATCCCTGGCATCTATCCTGTGTCTTAATTTAGCACAAAGGGAATAGAATATCAGGATTGATTTAACAGACAGAACCTGGAGAGTTAAAAAGGTCTAGGTTTTCTTGATGAAGCTTAATTTGCATGGCTGGGTTTCTGGATGGGAGATTCTGTTAGTGTGATCTCTAGTAGCACAAACGGTTCTTTAGAGATGACATTTTGTACAGACAGAGAAATATCGGTGTATTGATTTGAAGTATCTGCAGTGTTTGTGGGTTGGACATAGAAGGCTGATAGCAGTTATTTTATACCCCCAAGGGCCCATTAGGTCTATCTGTTGCAAGAGATGATTAAGTATGGATCCCCATTACAATGCTGGCATTTGTTTGTTGCAAGATTTGGAATTGTTCTCACAAATTATCTCAATTCTATCTAAGGGAGCTGTACGTAACTTAATCTCTTAAATATCTAAGATGGCTGACTGTGAAGGCGATGATAATCATGATGGGCAGTTGTTTTGAAATATTTATATGAATACATTGACTTAAAAGGGGCGATGGGGTAGCCTTGTGGTTAAAGCGGTTGCTTGTCGCATGAATGACCTCACATGGGTACAATGTGTGAAGCCCATTTCTGGTGTCCACTGGCTTGATATTGCTGGAATGTTGCTAAAAGCAGCATAAAACCCAATTCACTCACTCACATTGACTTAGAAGTATCATATGAAGTATCATATGTCTACTGATTAATAGTATAGTTAAGATGAGCAGTTAGTCAAGTCAGATCTGTCAAATGTTTAAAATTAAGTTTTCTGACATTTCATTAACTACCTGAATCATGTAATATTAATGAATGTTTATGTGGCTTTGTGAATTATTTATCTAGCATCCGTAAATACAATATTTTTGTACGCATACACCATCAACATTTACTGAGATCAGTATTGTATTGGATGACATCGTTATGAACCATGCTTATCACTTGATTATTGTCTGTGTTTTATGTAGACAATTATATACAGAACAGCATGAACAGTACAGAAGCAATAACAAATATTTCTATGGTTGGCACAATATCTGAATATATTTCTGTAATTATCAACATTACACTTGCCATATCAAATTGATATCATCTGAAGATTATCAGAAATTTTAATTGCACATCTAATGTTTTTGAAAGTACTGTATTTATGTTTGATAGCACAGGATTTACTGTGTCTTAGCCAGACTGCTGATATGCAGTGATACAGCTAAAATACTGTTCAGAGGGCATTAAACCCAACTCACTCACTCACTCACTCCTCTGCCATTTTGTCTTTGATAGTAGAGGGACATTTTGTCATCTTGTGATGTCTCTGACTTGGCACGGGGCGGTGGGGTAGCCTAGTGGTTAAAGCGTTGGCTCGTCACGCCGAAGACACGGGTTCGAATCCCCACATGGGTACAATGTGTGAAGCCCATTTCTGGTGTCCCCCCCGTGATGTTGCTGGAATATTGCTACAAGCGGCGTAAAACCAAACTTTGTCAGTCAGTAGTCAGTAGCCAGACTTATCCCTGGCCATGAGAGACAAACATGACTTGACAAGCTTAGTGTTTCAGTGGCAGTCCATGCGGCACCACCAGTTTATGGTTTGCCTGATCCAGATTTAATCTCAGATTACAAAGCCTTTTGAGGGTGATGTAGCTGTAATATTGCGGACACCATCCACTGCTTTGCTTCAGGAGGCAGAGGAGCAGTTCGTGTTCATTCATCCTGACATTTCATGGGTTTGACTCTCCTTGTGGGATCAGTGTGTCCCCATGATGTGATTATTAGAATATTGCTAAAATGGAATAAAACCTGACCATTTTTCATGTCTGTCCCGTGTCTCATGACTTCTGTTTTCTTTGTTGCAGGTTTTAGCTTGGTTTGAAGAGAATGAAGAACAAGTGACAGCCTTTCGTAGAACCATTTGTTATATTAACCATTTTAATAGCCAATGCAATAGTGGGAGTGTGGCAGGTACGTCCAATTTTTACTCATTTTGTTCAACTTGTATATAGGGGGGCGGGGGGCTAACCATTTTTCCTGTGGAGTTTGAATCTTGGCAGATCACCGAGACTTGAGTTATTTCCCTTCACATTGTTCATTTTAATTATTACTGAATTCTGAAATTATGAGAGAGAGTTTTTTAAGGTATTTACTTCACATTTGATTTTTAAAATTAATATGAATCCCTTATCTGGAATGTTAAGTCTGAAAACAAAAATTACACTTCTTTATACAACATCCCTGAACTGAAGTATTATTGAGCTGCATATCAAGAGCAGCTACACCCTGACATGTTCTCGGTAACCGCCAAGGATTCCTTCAAATAGTTCTTACATTTGCGGAAAGGGCTCTGGATTTGTGGATTCAATAGTAATTAGCATATTACCACCATTTGGTTGTAGTGACCTTCCTCTGACCCAAGTAATTACCTCCCTTGATGAAGGTAATGGACGGGGAAATTTACTGTAGGTTGTTCTGGCTACCCTGCTGGCCCACATCAAAGCATGTTTGGGCATCACGGTATTAGGCTGCTTGCTATACACGTATCTTGTTCCCCTGATTGACCGCCGTTGCTTGTGCAGGTTGGACTGGGTAATTACTGCCACCATGCATCACCACATTCATCAACACACCTATACCTTGTGAATGTTTGACATTGGTAGTGGATGACTGCTTCGTGATGATGTTGGATAACTAGCATGTTCTTGATTGGATTTAACGTTGTAGAATCTCCAGCCATTGTTGCTGATTTTGTGGAAAGGAACAAATTTGTTCTTTATGTGTTCTAGTCAAAATTAGCAACTTTTGGGGATATAGTTTCATATAAACATGTATCAGCATTCTGAGCATGCCCACCAATATTGGTACATGTAGCACAACCACCACACTGTGATTATTGTAATCTTGCTCACCTTGGGGATCCTCCAACCCAAAGATCCACCCCTCCAACCCAAAGATCCACCCCTCCAACCCAAGGATCCACCCTCAAACCCAAGGATCCACCCCTCAAACCCAAGGATCCAACCGTCCAACCCCAGGATCCACCCTCCAACCCAAGGATCCACCCATCCAACCCAAGGATCAAAACCATCCAACCCAAGGATCCACCCCTCCAACCCAAGGGATCCAACAGTCCAACCCAAGGATCCATCCCTCCAACCCAAGGATCCACCCTCCAACCCAAGGATCAAACCATCCAACCCAAGGATCCATCCCTCCAACCCAAGGATCCAACGGTCCAACTCAAGGATCCACCCCTCCAACCCAAGGATCCAACAGTCCAACCCAAGGATCCACCCCTCCAACCCAAGGATCCACCCCTCCAACCCAAGGATCCACCCCTCCAACCCAAGGATCAACCATCCAAACCCAAGGATCCACCCTTCCAACCCAAGGATCCAACCGTCCAACCCAAGGATCCACCCCTCAAACCCAAGGATCCAACCTTCCACCGGGGATATGACCCACTTTATGACTATATCTGCCCACACACTGACATTAGAATGTAGGTGTAATGGTGAGAAAGGAAAGTGTTAAGCTCTAGTGGAATCTTCATTACAGACAGTGGCAATTGCCTGTGTCTGGTTGTAGTCCATTCCAGCTTTATGACCCCTAGAACACCAGCCCATGGTAAACAATGGCCCAACTCTGTTGATCATAACTGGACTCTTGGTATTCTACAGACTAGGTGATATCTTTTTAGCACCCCTCAGAGACAAAGTAATAGTTACATTGCTGAGGTGTGTGTCTTGACCTGACCATGGGTGGCCAGATAGCACAGCCTGATAGTGCAAGGAATAACCCATTGGAAAAGTCAAAGGTTTAACATGGAAAAAAACTAGGAGGTTAACCAGGTCAATGGTTAGAGATTAACTTGGCAATTAACTAGGTCATGTACTGGGGATTATGTAGGTTAACTACTTGGAGAATTTGATAACAACTTGAAGTTTACTTAATTTCCCAACTGGGAGACAATAATAGAACTGAAGACCTAAATTACCTTTAGGCTGAGCTCAAATACCAGCCCTGACAACTAGAAAGTACTGTTTGTAACATGCCCATATGGAGTTAGATTAAGGAAACCCCATAGGTAAGAAATACAACCTAATGTGATTGTAAACTGAAATAGGTTTCCAAAACATTTCCGAGTTATTTTAGTGTTATCAACATACAATATTTTGGCGTTTGTGTTTGCTGTACAGCCTGCATTAGCAAATCTAGCATTTCCTGATACAGATCTGTTTGGCTAGAGACTAGCTGATTGAACAAGGAGGGTGGTTAAGCAAAGATATGACATATCAAATTTCTCTTACGTGTTTTAAAACATAGGTGTACAGCTCTGTAAACACATCGGGCTAATTCCATGACTTGATTACTAATTGGACTGGCACCTTTGGCACCTAATGGTGTTTGGCGCCTCTCTGGAGTAACCAAGTTATGTGGGTACTGCTAAGGCAGAAATAGCTCTGGGAATATCTCCTCTGACAGCTGGGGGCGTGGGGTTGAGATAGGACAACGTCTTTCACTGGGAATGCTACATCAGGGCTAATATTGGGAGCATATTATAAGCTGATAGAGCACTTAAATAACCCTATCATAAAGTGTCATGTTCCCTTGAACCTTCCTGTGTATCACTTGACTTCAAATGCTTTGAGGTTGTTGAATGAAGGTTGCAATTAGGGTAGAGGGTATGGATAAGGGTGTACTATGGGTAGGGGCATTGGATAAGGTTTTGATTAGGGTAGGGGTGGATAAGGGTGTAATAAATGGATATTTCAGGGGAATTGATGTTCAGGCCTTTTGCCCAGAACTCTCCTGTTGAATAATTGGGTCAACTGCTATCTTTATGGGATAGGTTTGAAGTAGAACAAATGAGGCATGAGATAGCGATCATCATTAACTGCTTACAAACTTTTATTTTGAGGTTTGAAATTAGTTTGTAGCTTTAGTCCCCAGAAAAGATAGGCTACAGAATTACTCCTAGGTAATGGTGAATGAAGTTTTGTGTTTGTCTTCAAGGAAGTGTCTCTAGCCCTTCCTGAAGATTACTATTCTAGGAGCAAATGACAGTTTGAACCCTGAATTATGAAACTGGACCATTGACTTTAGATGTCTGAAATTGATTTGGAACAGAAAAATAGTGGTTGGCACAAAGGATTAAAATATTATGACGCATAAAATATTAGTTTGGGTAATTGAAAATCTCATTCTGGTGTCATGATGCCCACACATGATCTTGACCACCTCCCCCCAAAAATATGTGATTGGTAACACGGAGATTTAGTGATGGGTTTGGAACTTTACTGAATCTCAGTATTAACACCTAGTATTTCTGTGCCAGTGTTCTGTAAATAGCCAAGTCTCAATCTGACAATTCATATTATAGTATTATGTATGTTGTACAATGCCTCACTCAACAATCTACAGCTCTATGACAGCAGTCTGTAAATTATTGAGTCACGACCAGACTAGATGATGCAAGTTATTAGTTTTATATATTTATAACTGATTCATGTCAGCGTTCCATACCTGCAATGATTAATGTATATGGATATTTGTCCACAGGAGCGTAATGCTGAAGATGCTATTGAGGCTCTCAAGGAGTATGAGCCTGAAATTGCCAAAGTCTACCGCCAGAACCACCGCGGTATCCAGAGAATCAAAGCCAGAAACCTCGTCCCTGGTGATATTGTCGAGGTGTCAGGTACATATGTTCTTTGAAATCAATTCATTGTAAGAGGAATGGTGCCGAAAACATTTCTGATTAATCTTGTTAGAATTAGTTATAAGCATCATTTTTCTATAGATTTTGATATTGGTAGACAATGCGAGCTGAACTTTCTTGACTGAACATAATTTTACTAGACTCTGGCTTCACTAGTGTTGAAAGTCATAAGATTCCAGATGCTCACTCATGGCTTTCAGAGTAAAGTTTAGTAACTTGTGTAACTCTACAACTATGTTTGGTGTACAATTTATAGTATAAGAAGCAATTCTTTCCCACTTTTCTGACTGAGCAGATTTTAATATTGAACACAGTTTTTCGTACTTTTCTGTCTTGATTGACTTGACCCGACATTGTTGTTTCTCTGTTTGCAGTCGGTGACAAGGTCCCTGCTGATATTCGTATTACCGCTGTCCATTCCACCACCTTGAGAGTTGACCAGGCTATCCTCACTGGTAGGTTATCGTATTGTTGTAATAACAGTTATAATGTGTATAATTATAATGGGGAAAATCCACACCCTGAAGCATGCTCATCTGCCACATTATTACACTAGTCAGTGGATCAGAGTGTACTCAGCTGTAATTCTCAACATTCAGCGGGTAGTGGGGTAGCCTAGTGGCTCAACACGTCAAAGACCCTGGTTCGATTCCGCACATGGGTACAATTTTGAAGCCCATTTGTGGTGTCCCCCTCCGTGATATTGCTGGAATATTGATAAAACCGGCATAAAACCGTATTTAATTACTCAATTATAAATCAAGCTGCATACAAGGTGCTTGAAGGTTGACAGTCACTTGGATTCTTATCCTACCAGGTACCCATTCACGGCTGTCGACACGGGCACATTTCAAACAAAGTTGCATGCTATACATAGGCATATGCTGTACATAGGTTGCTGGTCTCTGTATGGATTCCATGGCATGTCCATCAACTACTTTGTGGACTGAAGCCCTTGCCCTGCTTCACAAGATAAATGTAGCTGTACGACAATCTGGGTCTGTTAGAATGTACGACTTGTAATGTCCTATGTAGGTTATGTGTAAAAAAAACCAAAAGGGCCCTATGTGATTCTGCTGACTCTGCCCTTCTCAGACTCCCTAGGCGTCATTTGGCTTACTTAACTATAATGCTGTGACACTGTAATATCAGCTTATTTCTGATTTATTTTGTGTATGCCATTGTGGGTAAGCTATTGTTTAAATGTTCTATTAAATGCCATGTGCTATTCCCCTTGCAGGAGAATCTGTGAGTGTACTGAAGCACACTGACCCAATCCCCGACCCCCGTGCTGTGAACCAGGACAAGAAGAACATCCTGTTCTCTGTAAGTATTCACTTGTGACTAGTCAGATGGCACTGAAGGCCAAGCTTCAGTTCCAAAAGGGGCGGTGGGGTAGCCTTGTGGTTAAAGCGGTGTCTCGTTATGCTGAAGACCTGAGATTCATTCCTCGTATGGGTACAGTTTGTAAAGCCCATTTCTGGTGTCTCCTGATTGTGGCTTCGATTGTCAGCTGATTGTGTCAGGGGCTTGGTTGTGTCCAAAAATAATTTTAATATGAGTTATGCTGCATATCTATGTTGTATAACATATTCTCTTGGCTAGTCAGGGTTAGAAATTGTTAGTTATAAAGGTACTCATCAAAGGTATTGCTAAGCCTGAGCTGCACTTTGAGAATTGTTTGCCTGTATACACTGATTACTTGTTTGGTGTGAAGCTGAAATAGGGTGGATAATGTCGACACGTTCAAGTTGATGGTTGATGTTATTTATCTTTGTTTTTCAGGGAACCAATATTGCTGCTGGAAAATGCCGTGGTATTTGCATTGGAACTGGATTAAACACTGAAATTGGTGAGTGTTTGTTAGATGTCCTTCCTGCACCGTATCCTCCCTTGGCACACCAGGAACCTTCTTGGGTTCAAACCTCGGTTCACCCTTCATGTTTCTAGTGTTTCATCAAAGTGATTATAGTCGAAGATCTGTATCACTTCAAGCTGTCTTCCTACACTAAGCTGATATGCAGTGATACAGCTAAAATACTGTTCAGAGGTCATTAGACACAACTCACTCACTCACTCACTCACTCACTCACTCCTCAGCCATTTTGTCTTTGATAGTAGAGGGGCATTTTGTCATCTTGTGATGTCTCTGACTTGGCACGGGGCCGTGGGGTAGCCTAGTGGTTAAAGCATTCACTTGTCACACTGAAGACCCAGGTTCGATTCCCCACATGGGTACAATATGTGAAGCCCATTTCAGGTGTCCACCGCCGTGATATTGCTGGAATATTGCTAAAAGCGGTGTAAAGACATACTCGCTCTCGCTCACTCACTCACTATATAGAAGGCCCTGGCCTGAGCCTTGTTACACAAAGCTATCCTAAAGCTACAGCTGTTTTAAGTCTATACCGAATTAGCACTTGACGATTACCTCACTGCTGAAACGGTTCTGTGGACTTAAATCAATGTCCACATCCCTGCATGGTGTTTAGAGTGTTGTATGGAGAAATGATTCAGTGTCCTATGTGATTGTCAGCTGGTTATAAGGCTCAACTGTTTTAACTCTAAATTGAGAATAGGAGTTACAACCACCTTTATGCTAAAATAGCTTTGTGGACATGGTCCTAGGTTTGTTGTATGTGCAGACAGCTTCATGTCCTTTTGAACTGTCAGCTGTACATATTGCAGACCCAGCCAAGTCTCTGTTCCACAAGATTTGTGAAGATTGGGATTAGAATTGATCTTCAGTAACCCATGCTTGTCGTAAGCTTTGATTAACGGAATCAGGTGGTCAGGCTGGCTGACTTGGTTGACATCATATCCCAATTGCATAGATCAATGCTCATGCTGTTCATCACTGGATTTGCTGGTCCAGACTCGATTGTTTACAGACCGTTGCCATATAACTGGAATATTGCTGAGTGCAGCGTAAAACTAAACTCTTTCAGTCACTCTGTTCCACAAAGTATGGTAGCGTTAAGACGATCGTAACTTCCATACTGAACAGACTTACAGCAGTCGTAGTGCTACGATGGCTCTGTGCAACCCTTGTCTGAGCCTCAATATGTGTTGTGAGTTAACCTCAGACTTGGTGTACAGTCCTTGTTAACATTCTTATATGACTGACTTCCCGTGTAGACCCAATCAATGTCATCAATGTCGCTTTCTTGAATGAACTGATTTGACAGTTTGTCATCAGATTTCTACCAGCTTCAGTGATTTTTCTCAAGATCGTTGACTTTGATAAATTCCAAGTCAATTTTCAAATTTTATCAACTAATATTACTTTCTGCTATACCATTACCAATTTCAAATTAAATCTGACACGGCGAAGGCAACAGGGTGAAATGATGTAATTCAGTTATGTAGATCTGTGCCAAAAACTTCTAATCCCACCATGTGTTTTGGTCTTAGAATAATTTAGAAGATTTAGTGTTACATGGATTATGATTAAACAAACATAATTTACAAAACATGGGCTTCAGAGTGTCTAAAGTGGCAGACAGAGATGGTAGTTTTTTACCCTAAACATTATAAATCTTTTGGTGAAATATTTGGCTGAAATACAAAATTGCATGGTTATGCTGTATGCACATTTTAAAGGTTTCCCAGTCAACCCAGTGTGATTTATGATTAAAACACAACTGCAGTGCATATGAAACCTATCCAGCATGGTAGGTATTCCTAAAACAAACCTGTATAAACACTCAAATATAAAGCAAGGCAATGTTTTCATATTACCATTGTTACTGTCTTGGAATTTCTGGTGTCCCCTGACTTGATATTGCTGGAATATTGCTAAAACTAAACTCACTCACTCACTCGCTACTGTCTTGGAAACAGATTAACTAAAGTGATATGAAAGAATTAGGTGGCCTTGTGTTTTAGTATATTCGAAGCACTTGTAGAGATAAAAATGTACCCCAAATTGTGATTCCCATGAGAGATCTTCAGTGCAATTAGTGATAATGTTTTAGTTAAAATACCGTTAAGTATCTGGGAAAGTGATTAGTGTCTACATCGGTATGAGTGTTGGATGTTTGGGAATATATCGCAAGTTCATGAACGGGGAATCCATTTCCCCTCTGGTTACCTGGTAGCTAGCTTCCCCACATGTATCAGAGGGAAGTTGGTAGTCGGGGAAACAGTATCTAAAGCAGAGCTAGCGGTAGAGAAGCAGCATCTACTTGAATGTACTGTGGGAAGGTGTTAGGAGTCGGGTAATCTGATATGTTTGATATTGGTATAGTGTGTCTCCCTCTTGCCATACCTGGTCAACGCCGGTACATATTGGTAGGCGCTAGCTAGCAGCATGGGGAACAACACCACCTCCTTCGTGTTGGCGATGTTGCAGATTTGTTCTCAAGGTCATTGCAAAAACATTACTGGTTTAATTTTTTCCTGCTGACACAACTAATTAGACTTGGTGGTAGTTTGATGAGCAGGTTAGTTTCGTGTAGAGGTATTAGTCTGTGTGGGATGCAAAATGGTCTTTAAGGAAGTGATGGATGACTAAAAGAATTTTGTTAGAAAATATGATTTTTTTAGGTCATTTATGACTTGTATTAATGATATGCCTGGAAGTTGTTGGCAACTTGGCAACGTAGCTGTTCTAACTTAAAAGAGCTTCTGTGGTGATTTATTTCAGTGGGCCATGTATTCATGTTGTGGAATCTCCAATACAAATAATGCATTCAGTTTAAGATAGTTATGACTGACATCATCTTGGAAAGTACAAAATAGGTTTAATGTTTTCTTTGATAATTTTGTCGAGGTTTTATGCGTTGACACACTGAGAAAGATATAGTATTCCTACTTTGGTTGAGCTTCAGTGTGAGATGTTTCCTGTACGGGATGCAGGTATTAGGATTCAGTCAACGATATGGTTCAGTCATCACTTTTTTGTCTGCCTCTAATTTGCAAATCTTGCTGACTAAGGAACTTACTTATTTCCTCTTTCTTTCTGCGTGTGTTTTTACCAGTCATAAGATTCCTGTATATATGCTCTGTTGATACTGTTGGTATAACAGTTAACGCTGCGACATGTCAGGAATGTTTCTATCCCTGTTCATCCCGACTACCTGGTAACAGCCGCCTGCCTCCGAGGTCTGTCTCAGGTGCTCTCTCCGCACCGACAGAAAAAACCTCCCAGCGATGTGCCCAGCATACCCAGGGTTTTCCTGCTTGACACAGCTGTGTAGAGCTGTAACTATCCAATATCGGGTGTTATCACTCAAAAATTGGCACTTCTATGTTCCTTACCACTATTCTTGTATAAAATATAAAAAGGTCTCTACCAAACTCAGTGCTATGTAACAATTACGTTATCTGCCATAAGAATTATGTTGTAATAAAATTCAAGAGATCCATGTCGTAACCAACAGATATGCTACATCACCCAAATTTAATAATCAAATGTCACTGATGACAGTGTATGAATTATGGCCGACTGTCTACAGCAGTTACGGTAATTATGGGAGATACCAGAGTCTTCAATGCTTTCATCCTTATTCATTTTGGACCCCAAACCATAAACATTCCTGTGATGAGGAGCATCTTTGACTTTGAAATGTAATTTTGAACATCATCTATGCACTTTCAGTTTATGATCCACCAGGGTGGGAGATTAAAACAGTTTCAGGCAAACACCTCACCATATGTGAAGCTTCAAGCTTACGTCCTAACCTTTGTTTATCTGATTACAACAGAAAATGAATAGCTTACCATTATCAAGTATTGACCATGTGCCAGTGGCTGTAAAAATATTTTTGATAGGTTGTTTAGGAAATGCCATACACCTGTAAATTAATTAGTTTCACGTTGTGGAGGGTATTTTGGTATGCGATGCAACAGGGTACCTCAGCAGAGATAAAAGAGGCGTGTAAAACATATGGTTAGGCTCCTAGCAACTCCAAAACACTTGAGTTAGCTATCTTTCGATCACCTTGTTTCTCTGTGACCTTTGTGTTCCACTGAGTTTCCCGTGGTATCTTTCCTCCTATGCTCATGCCCTACCATAAAAGGCTTCCATCTTGCCGTCTGCCTCCAGAGGGCTGGAAGGTCCAGGGGAGGCAACTCTTCCTGCCTTGTCAAGGTGTTTCTAATTATATTGCAATCTGTGCATGGTGATTACGCTGCAGCATGGTGTGTGATGCACTGTGGGTAATAAATTTGATTTTGCATGGGTAAAGATAAGAAAATATGTGGAAAGATAAAGAGGTGTACAATATCAAATCTGAATACCACAGGAAAAACATAAATGGCAACAGTTGAGATCTAGGTTGAAGATGCTTGAGGCCTTTCTAAACACAGACATTGTCATTACAAAGAGTTACAGCTCAGTGCTGTGAATCATTGGTGTGCTAAATGAGGGCAGTGTTTAGGGAAAGGGCATCTTCTTACTGCAACAGATGTAAAGACTCATGGGAAGACAATAAATTCAGCATAGTTACGCTGTTGTTACTTGAAATGGATGCAACGCAACATCCTGACATAAATTTCGTTAAAGTAGTCTCAGCATTCAGTGTTATTTTGGGTAGCGCCACACCAGGCATAGAAAAAGTTCCGTTACGGAACAGGTGAAAAATACATTGAGTGTCGAGTTGCAAGATTTGAGTTGAAAGAATTTCCTTGATAAAACACCCAGACATTTGTTACCCCTGTGAATGCAGGCCTTGTGAGCATATATATGACTACTGAACTAATAGTTGGTAAAACTATTTCAAGGTACGCTATAAAACTGGAAAACTAATTCAGTTAGCATCTTGCAATTTTAGCCTGTATTTGCTTAAATTGATAGAACTTAATTTGAATATACAAACAATGTGATAAGCTCATGATATTGGAATCCCCTTGTCCCCTGTTGATGTAAGCATGTTTACTAGCCCAGACCAGTTAGGATGATACTGTTGTGTACACAGTGCAGGAAATGTCTAAACTATAGTTTTGCTGGTCAAGCAGATTTCTGAAATATGATATAGGCAGGAAACATGCTACATATTCACATGGAATTTGTCATCTGACTTTAAAATGTTTCAAACAGTACATAATATCTGGCCTGATGCCACAGGCACATAAAAAATCTGACTGGGAAGTAAGGCTGTTGGCAAAAGTAGTGCAATATTGTGTCTCCACTATTGCAATGTTTTGGGAGCTTAAGTGTTTGACAGTGGTTGCCATTGATTGATCATAGTGATCCTATTTGCATGTTCAGTCACTGCCATTTGTTGTCATGGATACAGGGGAGATAACTTAGAAACCAATTTCCACCATTTTGTCAGTTTTGAATGGAAACATTTTGGAATTAACTCTTGTGTAGATTTTAGTTAATGCAAATGATAATGAAACGTATTAGATACTTTTTACACCCATATACTGATACTGCAGAAAGATTTATTACAATACAAATTCTGTTTAGAAAGCATCGTGTGCCGTACTGGTAATACCATGCATGCCTACATTAAGCTCAACTCAATACGAGCTTTTGAGAATTTTGCCAATAGATTGTGTGGTGTAGAAGACTCGCAGGTTTTTCTTGGACTGGCAGTTTATTATTTAGATTCGAATTTTAAAAAGGGACGGTGAGGTAGCCTCGTGGTTAAAGCGTTTGCTCGCCACGCCGAAGACCCGGGTTCGATTCGCCACATGGGTACAATGTGTGAAGTTAATATCTGGTGTCCCCTGTCATGATATTGCTGGAATATTACTAAAAGTTGTGTAAAACTAAACTCACTCACTTAAGTTTTTTTAAATGTTATATTTGTGTTTGGGAAGGACTGACAAGTGTTTTGCGTTCCAGGCAAGATCCGTAACGAGATGATGGACACTGAGACTGAGAAGACCCCCCTGCAACAGAAACTGGATGAGTTCTCCAACCAGCTCTCCAAGGTACACATGCACTAGCGATAATGGTCTCACCTTTTTGATGTGATTCAGTAATGGCATTTAATCAGAAACTGTGAAATAATATTTTAGCATGAAGTTTATGACGGTCAGTTCAAATTGATTGCAAAACACACTTCAGAAGCAAATGAACAACACAAGAATGTATTCTTAAAATGAAGTGCTAGTGTTGTACCGGTAGTCATTTAAGTATTCACTCGTCTAGCCACAAATTTAATTTCCCTCATGGGCACAGTATGGTGTACTCCACCATGATTTTAATTAAATACTGCAAAAAAGTGTTGTACAATCGCAGAAACTCATGTCAGTTCTTACATATTCTTGTTTTGGTTATTCCTGTGATCATGTAACTGACGATATGTTTTCCTTCCAGGTGATCACTGTGATCTGTGTGGCTGTATGGGCCATCAACATCGGACATTTCAACGACCCTGCTCACGGCGGATCATGGATCAAGGTGAACAAATATTACGTGGAACCCCTCAAAATCGCACTCCATATGTTTCGAAAGTTTGAAAAAGGATTTAATAGAGAAGTGAATCATTGTAAGCATAATATGTAGAATATTGTGAGTTAAAGCAATGAGTTTGTGCTCAGAAGATGTTCACTCAGATTAGGAGCAGGACAGAACCTACTCGTCTTGATTTGCTCGGCAGCGAAACAGTCGACAAGATCATCCTTCGGACAGTGGCAATTGGATATGATCAATGAACATATGGATTTACTTGTTGCAATTTCCCTACCCCCTTTGGATATTAGTTTGAGTTTTCAAGTGGATTGTTTCATGGTTCAGTGAAGTTGGTGTGACTTTTGGATTATTTCTATCGTCTTTTGGATTAATCGACATGAGATTCCATGAAAGGATTAATATGGATTTTCGAAGTGCGAATTACCTAGGCATCAGTAGTTATACAGTGTTACTCCACGGATTATTGTGTTCTGTCATCCATGGGTGTAAATTCCATGCTGGTGATACCAACTCCCTCACTCACTCTGTGTTTCTCTTGCAGGGCGCCATCTACTACTTCAAGATCGCTGTCGCCTTGGCTGTGGCTGCCATCCCTGAGGGTTTGCCCGCTGTCATCACCACCTGTCTGGCTCTTGGTTAGTTAACGATGTGGCCAGAATTCTTTGTTTTGTTTTGTTAAACTTTGCGTCCAAATATATTATCGCAGCAGTGTCTGGAACAGACCATCCAGTGATGGATACTATGAGCATCTATCTGACAACATGCGTACAGATAGTATAGGTTGTCAAGGATCTATTTTAACCTGAAGTGTATTCAAGCTCATGTGTCTTTAAGGCATCAATATGTGATTCACTGTGCAGAGTTGCATCCCTTACCTTTGCCAGGATCCTCTTATAAGTTTTGTCCCTTATGGGTCTTTGGTTTGCAAGCACTTTCTAGCCACATTAAGTCGTGATGTCCCCCTGCCATGATATTGCTGGAATATTGCTAAAAGCGGCGTAAAACTCAACTGAAATATGAAAAAGAAACTGACTGCATATTGTCTGAACATCAGGGCGGTGGGGTGGTTAAAGCATTCCCTCATCACGGCGAAGACCCAGGTTCGATTCCCAACATGGGTACATTGTGTGAAGCCCATTTCTGGTGTCCGTCATGATATTGCTGGAACATTGCTAAAGTGGCGTCAACCTAAACTTATTCACTCTGAACATCATGCTGACTGGTATACAGTGCTTCGTAACGCTGTGTAAGGTTGGTTGTAGATATACACCCTAGTTCTTCATGTGTCGTTTTGTCCATGCAGGTACCAGGAGAATGGCCAAGAAGAACGCTATTGTCAGGAGTCTGCCCTCTGTGGAGACACTTGGCTGCACATCTGTTATCTGCTCTGACAAGACTGGAACACTCACAACCAATCAGATGTCTGTCTGCAAGGTGAGACTCATGTTAATATTTGATCAACTCTGTAAATATGACCTCAGGAGAGAGACCTCTGTTTCCATCTGTTATCACTGTATTTCTGATTCATGACAGATGTTGGGGTAGCCTAGTGGTTTAGGCATTTGCCTGTTAAGACGAAGTCCCAGGTTCGATTCCCCACATGGGCACAATGTGTGAAACCTATTTCTGGTGTCCTATGACGTGATATTGCTGGAATATTACTAAAAGCGGCATTCATTCTGGTTCATAAGCTGGATTAACAACCAACCAAAATGACTTTAATGTTTCTCAAGACCTACATGACAGCCTTGTAATGTGAACACTGGGTATAGTTAATCTGGTAGAGTTTGCCAAATTGTAATTACTGAACATTTTCTGGAAAACCGTTTGAGAAATAAAAACCTGGAGGGAAATCTTGATGCCGTCATTTGAGAAAGTAAACAATAAATCAGTTAGGTACAGGCCCTTGCTAAGATGATGCAATTTTGTGTAACTATTCTTAGTTTTGACTTTCAAACTGGACATGGAAGGAAGCCATGTTGTCAGATGGGTCCAGGGTAATTACTATAAGAATATTGATATTGTATCCTGCATGAGCAGGGATGAAACAGAAGCATGTTTCTTTTCCAATTCTACATTTTGAAGTCCGAAGTGTCTGCAAGTTTAATCTGAAAGTTGGGGGCGGTGGGGTAGCCTAGTGGTTAAAGTGTTCGCTCATCACGTCAAAGGCCCAGGTTCGATTCCCCACCTGGGTACAGTGTCTAAAGCCCATTTGTGGTGTCCCCTGCTGTGATATTGCTGGAGTGCTAAAAGCAGCATAAAACTAAACTCACTCACTCTGACTGTTGACTTGTTGTTTCAGATGTTTGTGTTCAGCAAGGTAGAAGGCAACGACATCCAGACTGCCCAGTTCGAGATCACTGGATCAACTTACGCCCCAGAGGGTGAAGTGTAAGTTGACTCTTAATTCTCATGAGACGCCATTATTCGTCTGCTGTTGATAAGATTGATCTGGCTCTACTGTTGACGTGAAGGGTGAAGCTCAGCTTTATCTGGGCATCGCCATGGATATGAAGTGTCATGACCACATATCAATCAGTGCAATATCAGCCATGCTAGAAGCACTCATAAAATCTGAACTACCTGGTTCCCTGAAGTCGTACTGATGTTCTGCAAGATGGTTCTGATGTTTCATGTTTGTGACATTTCAGGTTCTTCCAGTCCAAGAAGATTCGCTGCTCCGACTTCGCCGGACTTGAGGAGATGGCAACCATCTGCGGCATGTGCAACGACTCCAGCGTTGACTACAATGATGTAAGATGATAATAATAATATATATTGTTTGTAAAGTCTTTTGTTGATCACCATCTCTGGTTAGTAATAAAAATTACCCAAAGTCTGTAAGAAACAGCTGTGACGTCTGACCATGAATAACTCAGAGATGATGGAAGATAGTTCTAAAGTTGAGTTCAAACTTTGTCAAGGGTTTAAGTTGCTGGTTCGTGATTCTGTTAAGGCCGGGGACGGTGGGCGAGCCTAGAGCTTAAAGTGTTCCTTCTTCACACCCAAGACCCGGGTTCGATTCCCCACATGGGTACTATGTGTGAAGCCCATTCCTAGTGTCCCTTCCTCCCTTCTCAGAGAATATTCTCCTTTTAGCTCACTGATATATGTTGCTCAAAATTTGTTAAGGGACTCACCTTTGAATAGAGATGACTATGTTGGTATAGCAAATATTTTGAGTGTTTTTTTGGTGTGATTGGAGTTCCCTAAAACTGAGGTATATGCAAAATGAATTTATGACATTTGTTTTTGCTTGAATGTTTTATGAGCACAATATTCAAAATGATGCCAAAATGGCTGCATAATTGGTGATTGGCATTATACAATATCTCTTGCTCACTCACTCACTCACTCACTCACTCCTCCTGCAGGCCAAGAACCAGTATGAGAAGGTAGGCGAGGCCACTGAGACCGCCCTGACTGTGCTCGTAGAGAAGATGAATGTCTACAACACTGACAAATCCGGACTGAACAAACGTGAAGCTGGCATCGCCGGCAACCAGGTCATCCAAAACATGTGGAAGAAGGAGTTCACCCTGGAGTTCTCCCGTGACCGCAAGTCCATGAGTGTCTACTGTGTCCCCAACAAACCTACCAGGGCACCTGGAGGCGCACGCATGTTCTGCAAGGTGAGGTGCTGCTTATTTCAGGGGTAGGCAAGTGGACAGTGTGGGTTGATGTTTGAACACCGGCGTTTATTTGTGATCTGGGTCAGAAGTGGTCGAAAGCAACCCATGGTTCAGCAACCCAGGATTGGGTGGTCAGGCTGGCTGACTTGGTCGACACATGTCGTTGCATTCCCAGTTGTGTAGATCGATGCTCATGCAATTGATCACTGGATTGTCTGGTCAAACCGTCCACCATATAGCTGGAATTAGCTGGAAGAAGGGTAAATATGGGAGTATAAAATACTGACTGCAAAACAATTGCCAAACAGCATGCAAAATGAAAACTGTAAATAGTGTTACTTCATGTCTAGTTTTCCTCGATTTAAGTAATCCATTTCCAAAATTCTGCAGCAGGATGTTGCTAATGGTGCGACCATAAGTACATATGGTCCTTGAGACAAATGACTACTTGAAATGTGCACAGCAGTGAATGGGTACCCGGTAGAATGAGATGGTGATGTGACTGTTAAGCTTCTAGCTCCTCAAAGGCTGTCTGCGTTCTATACATCCCAGGGAGATTAGAATTTGGTTACACATAGGTAAAAATGTAGCCCTCAATACTTGTTTTAGTTTGTGGACTTGGGATTATAATTGTGCACAATATTATTATTTACGTCAAGGTTTGTGTTTATGCAGGTACTGTTAAGATAGTGAGTTAATATTGGATGTTGATGAGGTGATTATCTGCTTCAGGGAGCACCTGAGGGTCTTCTTGACCGCTGTACCCATGTCCGTGTTGGAGGAAACAAGGTCCCCATGTCCTCCGCCATCAAGAACGAGATCATGAAGCACACCAAGTCTTACGGCACAGGTACGTTACTCAAATATAACGAGAAATAAGATCACAGTAACGCTTAGCAACATTGTCAGTACTTTGTCCTCTAAACAGCCATTGTTGTAGCTTAGAAGGTAGTGTTTGTTCATGTTGCATATTTCTGAGTTTGAATCCTTATTTTAAGGTCTTTGTGCTCATGTTTAAGATGTCAGCCAGTTTTTATTAAAATATTGTTACAACTGTCGTAGGATTTTAAAATGGACATTTTGATGCTTATATGTACCCCAAGAAGGACTTCTTCTGAAAAAGAATCATTAACCTCTACAGGTTTGTACTAATTTCAGTGAATAGCTAGGAGTCGAAATCTTGTCTCAAGCTGGTCTGTTAGTCGATGTATTGGTAGCAATTCCTAACCTGTAGAAGGTGACATGTGTGTGTGTGTGTGTTGTAGGACGTGACACTCTGCGTTGCCTGGCCCTGGCCACCATCGACAACCCACCACGCCGCGAGGACATGGACTTGGAAGACTCCCGCAAGTTCATCCAGTATGAGGTCAGTCAATACCTGCATAGAAGATATCATCTTGTAGGCAGTCTCTATTACTTTGCTGAATGTGTCGTCAAACTTTGTGTTTTTACTATGCTCATTGTGTCAAGCACTGGTTTGACTTTCACTCAATAATTGCAGTGATGTTGCTGGAATATTGCAGTCTGTAGTGCATTAATCAACTGTGACGCAACCACTGCTATGTAATGATGAATCAAGTTTCTGAACGATTTGTAACTATAGCATAATTTGAAAATTTTAAACACAAAGTGCATGTGTATCACCCTAAACAAATACTCACCTCACCTCTGAAAATTTTGAGTTGAGCTTAAGGTATTTACTGAGTAAATCTCATTTCAGACAAACATGACCTTTGTTGGTATTGTTGGCATGTTGGATCCCCCCTCGTACTGAGGTTCTCACCTCCATCAACGACTGCCGCAACGCTGGTATCCGTGTCATCGTCATCACTGGTGACAACAAGGTAAGCAGGATTTTTACGGTTTGCCACTCCCTATGGCTCCCCATGGCCTGAGCCATATCACATTGGTCAAGATTTGCAGATCTAAGCCATGATTTTGTTTCCTTGCTCAGTCTTCATTACTTTTCCTCTCGACTGTGATATAAACACCAGTAGGTGATGAGATCGTATTGATCTGTGGAAGGCAGATATTCTGCGTTTCAGTGTGAAGTAATATTCACTATTATTGTTATTTTCTACTACAGATTTGTTATAAAATTTTATCAACAGGAAGAAAAAGAACGCACTTGGAATTATTATTTCATTCCTCATGTGTATTTTTTGTTCTGTAAGAAACTTATGCTTTGAAACTAAGGTGGTGTTTGTTGTAGGAATCCATGACGCTGTATGACAGTAATTGGTTGTTTTGTTTCAGGCTACTGCTGAAGCTATCTGCCGTAGAATTGGCGTGTTCAAGGAGAACGAGTCCACAGAGGGATTATCCTTCACTGGCCGTGAGTTTGATGACCTCGCCCCTGAAGACCAAAGATCTGCTGTCATGAGAGCTCGTCTCTTCGCCCGTGTGGAGCCCGCTCACAAGTCCAAGATTGTAGAGTACTTGCAAGGAGAGGGAGAAATCTCTGCTATGGTTAGTGGTTATCTCCATTTTGAAGTGTTATCAACATGGGTTTTCAGTGATTTGAACATGCACTATAGTCCAGCTGAAACGAGACATTGTTTAACTTTTATTTGTGATGCAGATACAATCAAATTATTAATAGAAATATTAATTACACAATATATGAATGGAAGCAGTCAAGTGCTGTGGCGTAGTGTTCTCTCTCACCTCCCCCACTTGGTTTGTGTTATGGAATACAGTGAACTACGATTATAACCAACTCAAGAGACCAGTAATTTTAGTTCGTTATAACTTGAGTTCATTACTCGCATTCCAAGTACAATATTCTGGTGGTCCGACTCACTGACTTGGTTGACACATCTCATCGGTCCCCATTTGCGTAGATCAGTTCATTAGAACTGCAGTTCCTGGCGTACATTTTGACTAAAGCAAGTGGTCAGGACTCCAACAAATCATTATTCTCGTCAGTTTATTATTAACATAGATTACAGTAATAACAATATCCATTTCTGAACTCTGTAGAATGTTAACCTTTTAAGTTGATGAATATGCAAGGTAAACTGATGTAGTAAATTTGAGAGAAAAGCCTGATCAAGTTGATACTTTTGATGTTACAATTGTTTGTAATTTTCCTACAGCCTGTAGTGATGTTTGTTTCTCTGTTTCCTTCAGACTGGTGATGGTGTGAATGACGCTCCTGCTCTGAAGAAAGCCGAGATTGGTATTGCCATGGGTTCCGGAACTGCTGTTGCAAAGAGTGCTTCTGATATCCTTTGGTTTAAAATCACTAAAATTTGTCAGTGGGTCTCAGGGTGTGACTCGCATCATGGGTCATACTTGTGAAGATAATTATTGTGTCCTCAACTGTAACATTACAGGAATATTGCTATAGAAAACATTAAACCATACTCTCACCCTGTTGCCCACTCACTCACTCACTCACTCACTCACACATTGCAGATGTGACATTAAATATTAACTTACTCACTCACTTGACTGTTGCGCAGCTGTGGGGTAGCCTTGGGGTTAAAACGTTCAAAATATTGATCACACGAGTGTCTGACCGAGACTAGATTTGACGTAGGAAAGTAGAATATTGCCCAGTGTAGCGTTCAGTAATGCACCATACTCCCCCTTCTATTTGACCCGTTGGTTGAGACGCTATTTGTCCTTAACCGAGTCCCACAGATGGTGTTGGCTGATGACAACTTTTCGACAATTGTCGCTGCTGTTGAGGAAGGTCGTGCTATCTACAACAACATGAAACAGTTCATCCGTTACCTCATTTCGTCCAACATCGGTGAAGTGGTCTGGTAAGTCAAACTCTTCTAGTATGTGTAACAACCTATTTTTGCCACAAGAAGTGCCTTAAATGACTCGCAGACTTGCTTGATGTGTGTTATTATATCAGGGCCCCGTTTCACAAGGCAATCATAGTGCTACGACTGTCGTACCTCCAATACTGTAACATAGACTTACGACAGTCGTAGCGCTACGATAGCTTTGTGGGGCGGTGGGGTAGCATAGTGGTTAAAGCGTTTGCTCGTCACGCTGAAGACCCGGGTTCGATTCCCCACATGGGAACAATGTGTGAAGCCCATTTCTGGTGTCCCCAGCTGTGATATTGCTGGAATATTGCTAAAAGCGGCGTAAAACTAAACTCAGTCAGTCAGTCGATAGCTTTGTGAAACGGGGTCCTGAAGCTTACATTGTTGCTCATTATATCAATCACAGGTTTGTCTGATCCATGGTTGTTGATTGCAGTCATATGGCTGTACTATTTCAGTAGGACATTAAACAATGGATGACTGGATAATGTATCTGAAATGTTTTTTTAATAAACTTGCTTACAATCACTTTATCACTCACTCATTCGCTCTTCCTTCCAGCATCTTCTTGACTGCTGCTCTGGGTATCCCTGAGGCTCTCATCCCCGTACAGCTGCTGTGGGTGAACTTGGTGACTGACGGTTTCCCCGCCACCGCCCTTGGATTCAACCCCCCAGACTTGGACATCATGAAGAGACCCCCCAGGAACCCCAAGGAAGGCCTCATCACTGGCTGGCTGTTCTTCCGCTACATGGCTATTGGAAGTGAGTGTCACGCTCAGATATTTGCCACCACTGTTAATTATAACATGGTTGGTGCCATTATGGCATCCTTGTTGGTCCCTGTGTCATGCTGACCATAATGTGTGTACATAATTCCCACAAGACTCCATACACAAGGAGCGTACTTTAAGCTCACATTATTACCCCCGTCAATGGATCAGCGTGCACCTAGTTTTCATTCTGAGCTTCCTGGGCAGTATACAGCTCAAGTTCCCTGTGAGGGGCTAGAAGGTTAACAGACGCTTGTTCTTATCCCCATCTTGGTGATAAGACGTTTGTATCAAGGAATGTTACTTGTTGAAGGAGACCAAAGTCTCTTGAACACTAGGGGCCACCATCCTACTATTCTCCATGACTGACGATTACAGGGGTGGAAATAACTTTAAAATTGCTAATGTACTCCGTACAGTGGCACAAGTAAAATCACTTGCCCTGATAATTTTTCCACTATACTTGCCGATTTTCTTGTTGATGTTTTAAATAAACAACATAATTAACATTGGAAAGTCAACTGGACACCGGTACAGTGTGATATACAAATTTGCTTGCCTGACAGAAAAAAACACTGGACTCAGGCGTCGGGCAATGGGTTATTTCCACCCCTGGATAGACTTCCCCTAATTTGTGACCTTTATGTTTCAGTCTACGTTGGTTGTGCGACTGTTGGTGCTGCCGCCTGGTGGTTCATGCTGTATGACAAGGGCCCCGGACTCAACTACTACCAACTGGTAACAACACCACGCAGTCACTCACTCACTCACTCACATGAAGCTCACATTACAACCAGTTTCATTCTAAAACATGAAACCAACATGAACGACTGTATCCAGTTGTACAGAATTATCCCACGCCAAGCAGGATCCGCTAGTTGTGGGTTTGAATCCAAGATTCTCCCAATTATGATCTTTGCTTTGTTGGCACCATATGAGCAAATGTGGAGTTTTGTAAATGCCCTTGACATTTGTCACGTCAGGCTTTCTAACCCAACACAGAACAGCCTCAATGGCTTTGTGGGTGGCCAGTTTTGCCCAAAGAGAAAAAAGTATGTTGTCCACACGTCCGTCCACGTCATACTGAAAGATGTTAAGACATGGCCCTTGTTGTAACCCTGCCTTGCGCTAGGCATTAAGGGAATTAAGCACTTCCTGGCAGGTTCTGGGACAGTTAATGTGTTTGAGTGGGGTTTTGATGGTAGTCCTGGAAATTACACACAGCCACACTCTCACATGCAAGAATATCGCAGTAATCTTGAATGTGGCCTTAAAACCCATTCAGCTGACGCCTACATTACCGCTGACATGCACTTTGAGGGGCGGAGTGGGTAGCCTAGTGGTTAAAGCGTTTGCTAATCACCAAGGCCCCGGTTCAGTTCCCCACATGGGTACAATGTGTGAAGCCAGTTTGTGTCCCCTGCCGTGAGGTTGCTGGAATATTGCTAAAAGCGGCATAAAACCATACTCACTCACTCCAAAGTTTGATGTATTTAACTTTTGATTCAGTAATGAACTTACTGTTTTAGATAGTTGAGTCTGTGTTAAAATTTAAAGTGACACCGGCATTACTTCAGCCATATTGTAACTGTTTTTGATTCAGATAATTTGAAGATTGAAATCACTTGTAGATATTCTAGGGCAATGAAGTCAATGCTTGTCGCTGGACAGTTTAATATTAGTCACAGTGTGTGACCTGTCTGTCTGTGTGGCTCCGTACCCGGACAGTGGATCAGTGCTCATACTATCGACCACAGGTTTGAGGTGACTGCAGTGTAGCTGGAGTATTGTTGATTGCAGTGTGACACCAAACTCTCGCTTTATGTTGTCATAGTTACCAGTTTAAGAAATTTGTTTCGGAACAGGAATATCAGTAAGATTTAATTGGTAATATACTCAGGGAATGTGTAATGTTTTGTTTTTGTCTTCCATGCTTTATTGACCTTTGCTTTTCAGTTCAATTTCTTTTAACCATAAAAAAATTCCTTCCAACTAATAGAAACTTACTAAATTCATTTTTTTAGACAACGTAATAGTTGCACATAGTATTTATTATTTCCAATTCTTTTGTAATGAATTTGTTTGGCTGTAAATATATATCCAATCTGTTCCCCAATAACGAGCTTGATTAACACGTGTGATAGGTAAACTGTTGTACATCTGTGTTCATGATGACACCTTCACCTGCGTTTGCAGACACATCACATGCAGTGCCCGGCCGAGCCCAGGATGTTCCCGGGTGTAGACTGCAATGTATTTAATGACCCTCATCCAATGACTATGGCTCTGTCAGTATTAGTCACAATTGAGATGCTTAATGCATTGAACAGGTAAAGTCCTTGTCAATTATAATCTGCAGTTAGGAAAACCTTATCACCTCATTTCATTATACCACAGTTGCCAGTAAGCAGTATGAAATTTACAGTCTGTAAATTCAGATTTTGATATTAATATAGTTTGAGGGTTTTTTAGATAAATGGTGATTTTTATTTGCTGATTATGCAATTATTGCGTCTACTGGCATCTCGTGTTTCATTACTCACATTCCTGGTGACGGGATGGTTGACACCATCTACAGAACCTAATACGCTCAAAGCTCGCTTGCCTTGCCCGCCCGCACGCAACCTTCTCATTCAGGAGAAAACCAGACTGGCTTCGAGCCGTCTGCGTCGCCGCTTGCCCGCATGCCTAACTCATCTGTCTATCCAGCCTAGGTTGTTCCTGTACCTGGCGGTGCTCTCACAACAGCAGACTCACTCGGTTCCAACTCACTCGGTTCTAACTAAACATTTTTCGCTTTTCCTTTGCTAATCACTTCTCACTCTGCAGACCCACCAAGCCCAGTGCTTGGCTCAGGATGAGATGTTTGCTGGTATTGACTGTGAGGTGTTCGGTCACCCTAAGCCGATGACGATGGCCCTGTCAACACTGGTGGTGATTGAGATGCTGAACGCTCTCAACAGGTAAGGGGCTGACTGAGGCCAGCTCGCCGGTCTTCGGATCGGTGTCGGTGTAGCGCAGGAAGTTTGCCTTGCTCGTCACTTGTGACAACCTTTTCGTTCACAATGGGGGAGGTTGTAAAGTGTCAATCACATCTGAAGAGGTCACAACGTTGAGGATGGTTGATCATGACTGTGGTTTAGTGACGTTCCGACGTGGCTTCCAATCTGCATGGATATAATTAACGGAACCTAGCTGTACGCCAGGGGGGAGCTACTGGACTTTAGATTCAACCAAATTTCCAGCTACCAGACTCAAACTTCTAACAAGATATTCTAATTTCGTAAACAAGGGACTTAATTCTTAGGAATCTGTTCTCTGTCTGAACGCCATGATCACACGTTGTGATCTCTTTGAAATGTTTTGGTCCAGACAGCCCCCCTTTGTGGTACAAGGTTGTTTTGTGTTGGAAACTTCCTGCATGCATTGTGGCTTGTCTGACTCAGCCTCTTGCCTTGACCCACCGTTGCCGCCGTCCTCATCGTCATGGCAACATCCTCCTGAGTTTGCAGAGTGTTGATCTAGGGACAATCAGATATGCCTTCATGATAAACTACAGGGACTGAAACTAAGAACTATCTTATACTCTGTGGAATCTGCTATAATGTTAATCCTATGGAATTTTTATCAATTTTTAGTTCATTTTCACCTGAAGATTCTCTCTTAGTTTCAACCCCTGACTAATAATTCATGTTTATTCCCACTGCTTTGAAACAATTTCACACAATTTTTTAAAAGCATGCTTTTGAAAATGTCACTGAATAATCCATGTTCTCAGTTTTGGTGTCTAATGCATTACAAAAATGAATTGATGGAGGCAATGATTTGAATGAAGAAACTCGAGTGAGAACTGCTTTGTATGAGACTCATGTACTGGAATTTTTAACCTTCCAATTATTGAATGTTAGATTCTTGCATATATATCATTACTGACATGTGTTTTTGATATTTAGTCTAGTTATTAATGATATGAAGGGTGTGTGTGGTTTGTAGAAATTGATGTACAATCTGATCAGGACCCTGTTTCACAAAGCTATCTTAGCACTACTACTGTCATAAGTCTGTTACAGTATAGGAGGGACGACAGTCTTAGTGCTACGAATTGCTTTGTGAAACAGGGCCCAGTGTTGGACATGCATTCTTTGTTTCAGTGTTAACCCGAGGCTTGAACACGCACGCGTTTAGCAGCAGCTAGATTTGTAGTTCAAAACTCTCATTTTTTCAACTGAACATTTTTTATTTATAGATTGTATTTTTAAGTTGAAATTTTCTTTTGGACTGGATTATAATGAAATATATATCCCAGAAATAATTACAATTTCACTGAAGTTGAAAATGAGGAGTTTTGCTATTTCTGCTTTTAGATCAATTGTAGCATGTTTTGCTTTTAGATAGATTGTAAAACATGCTTTAGGAATTCTTTGAAGTATATTTGGCCGTTCCAAAACGTCACTCAAGTTTGCTTTTGGAAGACTTTTTAGAGAGGATGTTTTGGGGGTTATTTTCAATACCTGTATTGTACTAATGTACTGTACATAATAATATATATGTACAGATAGTTCATGGCTGGTTTTCAAACCTATGCGTTTTAAAACTAGACCCTCATAGTTAGAAAAAATGTCAAAATTCAATCTATTTTGAAAATGCTTTTGAACTTTTGTTTCCAATTAACACTGAAGTAGTATTTTGCCAGCCTCCGCAACTGTAATGCAATGCTGTTGTTAAATGACATCCATATTTGCTTTTTTCAAATCTTACCTGCGTAACAGCGTCCTAAGCAATATGTAGTTGTGTGGTATGACTGACGTATTAACATCTAGCCCCGCATAGACTAGTCTGTTTGCATAACATCATTTGTGATTACTTCAGATGTGGCGGGGGTTGTTTTACCGGATTTCCTGGATTCCGTTTTACTAAATTTAATTAAATTTTTTAATGATTTTAAAAGAAATATCCCAGAAATTTATTTACAATTCAAATGTAAATGAATCAAAATTTTATTATATTACTTATATTTTCTGCTGTGATATTGCTGGAATATTGCTAAAAGCGGCATAAAACCCAACTCAACTCGCTCACCTTTTCTTTAAAAAAATATAAATTCATGTAGGGGTTTCCATGGTAACTTTTTCATAATCGTACAATATTTTCAGGTATTATTTGTTTTTCCACTTTGCCCTGCCAGTTGTAATGTGCACACAAGTAGCTGTAAGATCGCTGATGTGGCAGTATTCACTGACTTCGCTCACTCACTCACTCACTCCAGTTGTAATATCATGGATATTAGACACTTGGGTACTATATCATGTACTTTGTGCAGGGTTTTGTCCCTTGGTTGCACCAGGTTCTGATGACCAAGATCTCAATCACATTCAGTCAAGTTATGATCTGTTTTAGCACCATCACCCTTCTGTTGCCAAGTGACAATAAACTGTCACGCCTTGATCTGAAATAATGTTGCATGGCATTGACACATTCAAACAATCTCTTGTAGACTGAGTAGAGCTAAGATGTTTCCTTCACTTTAGGATATAAAATACCTCATGATAGTTCCCATAATAATGAGCATAACAAAGGGGGAATATTGGGGGAATATTTTGTAGTCAAGACTCTCATAAAAGTACCGCCCAACATTCGTGATCCTCTGATTTTCTGTTCAGTATGTTATCAAAATAAACATACTACTCAGATTTCACTGGACACAGTAATCAGTGGCTGGTAGTATTTGGCAAAGTACATTTTTATCTTTTTATTTTTTTGTTATGATCTAAATATATTCCATTGAACATTGGCTAGGTTATTTAGAGGAATCCAGGCAGAAATTGTCTTGTCAAACACAATAAAATCACAGCAGTCATTTGACTTTATTTACTTCTTTGTAGGAAATATTATTTATAGTTATGAAAGTAGTTTCATAGTTTCAGATTCTAATGCATGCTTTAGTAAGTTAAAGGTAAACGTTATATTGGTTATACCATGTCTTATATTGGTTATACCATGTCTTATGTTGGTTATACCATGTCTTATATTGGTTATACCATGTCTTATATTGGTTATACCATGTCAGTTTTGCAGTTTACAGTCTTGTATTCAAACCTGTATCAGTTATGGTCACATTGTGTACTACTCACATTTGTTAGGGACCACAGCCGAAATGAAATGGACTTTCTTGTTCTTAGCATATGTTGAATAGTATAGGTTTTTTAAAGCCATAAGGACTCTGATCAAAATATTGTTCATACATCTGTGCTGGTACTTGCAGTACTCAAAAGCCATCTATGAAAATCTGTTTTATTACAATTAGGAATATCAGTTATGAGATGACGGTTGTTCCATGTCTTGTGAATGTTTCACAGAAGTGTTTCCTGTGACAAAATATAGGACTTGTCCATGTGTCTGGCAGTGTGTGGCGATAAGGCCCTAATTGAGGGTGAAATTTGTTCTTTAAATCAGGTTGTCAAATGGGCAAGTTACCCTGAGTGCTTGAAGAATCCCCTGTTCAAGCACTCAGGGGGAACCATTTTATGCACCACGTTTGGGTATATAATATCTGTGATGATAGGGAATGGAAATGGTCTTCAGCAACCCATTTTTGTCATAAGAAGCAGGGGCGATGGGGTAGCCTAGTGGTTAAAGCGTTGGCTCGTCACGCCAAAGACCCAGGTTCGAATCCCCACATGGGTACAATGTGTGAAGCCCATTTCTGGTGTCCCCCGCCGTGATATTGCTGGAATATTGCTAAAAGCGGCGTAAAACCAAAATCAATCAGTCAGTAGTCATAAGAAGCAACTTATTTTATTCAAAGTTCATCACCATGATGTTCAGCATTGAGGTCCTACTCTCTCCTTTCACTAGTTGCATACAATTTGTATATTCAAGGTATACAAAAGGCTGTAGAATTCCAGGGGTGAAGGGAGCACTTCTTTCTGTTAACACATTGGTATGTGTCTCTATGGTAGAAGAACTTATTAGAAGGCTTAGAATTGGTCCAGCTTGGAATGTTCACTCAGACAGAATATAGCTGGCTTTGCTGAATACGGAATAAATTGGATTTTTTTTTGTTTTCGCTCTGTTTTACTTTTGATAAAGTGTATCCACTGGTACCAGGTTTGTCTGTGAGATTGTGACTGCCAGTTGTGCTTCCATGTCTAACCTGCCAGTGATGTTTCAGCTTGAGTGAGAACCAGTCTCTCGTGGTCATGCCTCCCTGGTCCAACAAGTGGCTGATGTTCGCCATCGGACTCTCCATGTTCTTGCACTTCTTCATCCTCTACGTCGACTTCATGTCGGTAAGCAGTTCTCTCCCTGTCTCATACTAGTTGTCTCCAAGAATGAGTGAGGTTAGTTTTACGCTGCACTCAGCAATATTCCAGCTGTATGGCAGCGGTCTGTAAATTATCAGATCTGGACCAGACAATCCAGGGATCAACAGCATGAGCATTGATCTGCGCAATTGGGAACCGATGACATGTGTCAACCAAGTCAGCGAGTCTGACCACCCGATCCCGTTAGTCGCCTCGTATGACAAGAATGGGGTACTGAAGATCAACAGTCTAAGTAAACTTAGGGTCAGTATTATTCATTACACTGCTATACTGAGTCTAACAAAACCTTGTGGAAGGTCGCGTCAGGTAACCTTTGAGCGACCTATGACCGTCCAATCAAACGCGAGACGGCAGAATGGATTTAACCAATCGGACAACAGCTACTATTTAGGGTTTGGCGGGATTTACAAAATGGATTTTCTCTTCCCCGGTCGCCAACACTGATCTCATAACAAATGAAAACCCGCATAAAACACAGATATATGACCTGCAGTATATACGCTTTGGGGTTCCTGTTGACATGGTTATCATTAGCTAATATTTCTGCAAGCTGACATCCTTGAATACTGACAAAAGCTATTCTCAGCGATTGTTTACTCACTGTTGTGGCGTGCTCCATGTGCATCACTCGGAAGCAATCGTATGGAAAATAGCATTCTGAATCGTTGGGGTGAAAAACTTTTTCGAGGTAAAAGTTCAAAAGGTATGTGCAAATGTCAACTTTTGTGATTTGGTAAGCTGTGTTCTGATTTTTCCTTTGAAAAGGTCAGCTGACGCGACCTTCCACAAGGTTTTGTTAGACTCAGTATAGCAGTGTAACGAATAATACTGAGCCTAAGTTTACTTAGACTGTGAAGATCAAGATTCTAACCCGGATATTCACGGGTTACTTGACGAAGAAGCACCTTTGCTTTTTGTGGTAAGCAGCAGATAGCCATCAAATAATTCACTTGGTAAGGGAGCTCCGGGACGGCCTTGTTGTTCAAGTTAAACGTAGGCACAATGTGTTAGTAATGGTAAAGTATCAGAATGAGTAGCCGCGATTGGCTGGCTGGTCTTCTGTGGTGTGATTGTAGTCTGGCGTTCATACCGTTACCCGCTGGCTAATCTGGTCTTATCATGTGCTATGTCACATGGTGCAGTCACATGGCTGGAATGATGCTGAATGCAGCTCAAAATAACATTAACATACTCATCCTAACTATCTTGTGACGGTTTGGTCTACAGTTGTGTCTAACAGGCTCGCTGTCACCATATTCTCCCCATATTCCAGATCCTTACCATCTTGTGACGGTTTGGTCTACATTTGTGTCTAACAGGCTCGCTGTCACCATATTCTCCCCATATTCCAGATCCTTACCATGTTGTGACGGTTTGGTCTACAGTTGTGTCTAACAGGCTCGCTGTCACCATATTCTCCCCATATTCCAGATCCTTACCATGTTGTGACGGTTTGGTCTACAGTTGTGTCTAACAGGCTCGCTGTCACCATATTCTCCCCATATTCCAGATCCTTACCATGTTGTGACGGTTTGGTCTACATTTGTGTCTAACAGGCTCGCTGTCACCATATTCTCCCCATATTCCAGATCCTTACCATGTTGTGACGGTTTGGTCTACAGTTGTGTCTAACAGGCTCGCTGTCACCATATTCTCCCCATATTCCAGATCCTTACCATGTTGTGACGGTTTGGTCTAACCATGTTGTGACGGTTGTGTCTAACAGGCTCGCTGTCACCATATTTTCCCCATATTCCAGATCCTTACCATGTTGTGACGGTTTGGTCTACAGTTGTGTCTAACAGGCTCGCTGTCACCATATTCTCCCCATATTCCAGATCCTTACCATGTTGTGACGGTTTGGTCTACAGTTGTGTCTAACAGGCTCGCTGTCACCATATTCTCCCCATATTCCAGATCCTTACCATGTTGTGACGGTTTGGTCTACATTTGTGTCTAACAGGCTCGGTGTCACTATAGTCTCCCCATATTCTAGATCTATGCTCATGACTTCAACCACCGGTTTGTCTGGTCCAGATTGATTACATGGAAACCATGCATCATAATATTGCTGAGAGTATAAGACTGACACATGATGCCTGAAACACTCTCAAAGCATCTATAGGGCACTGGGGTAGCGGAGTGGTCAAAGCGTTCGCTCAGCACTCCGAAGACCTGGGTTCGATTTCCCACATGGGTACATTTCTGGTGTTCCCCATCACGATTTTGCTGGAATATTGCTAAAATTGGCCTAAAACCATACTCGCTCATTCTCACAGCATCTTTAAACAACTCATTCACTCCTTTCTTTTTCTCCACAGGTGATTTTCCAGATCACACCACTTAACGTTGAGGAGTGGGTCGCAGTAATGAAGATCTCTATACCTGTCATCCTACTGGATGAAACACTCAAGTTCGTCGCCAGAAAATTCGCTGATGGTAAAAACTTCCTCTTTGAACTGTATGGGCCAATTCTAATGTGGGCTATTTATATTGGACTTGTAATCATCTGTCCATTATGATGACTGTGTTAGCAGATCTACCGAGGGGCATGGTGTGACGTGCCCATCGTGAGGTGGGCGGCGTGTGATACGCCCACCCACCCTGAATGCTATTGTTTTCCTGGGGTTTGCTTCCCACCCACCCTTGTTCCAAGCTCGATCAACTCTGTAACACTGTGTTCTCTCCCTGCTGTTTGATTGGTTGAGACCCAAATGCAGTTACCATAGCAACAAGGGAAATAACTGGCGGGGTATATTTTCAAAAACTAACTTCGTCACATGGTGTAAACCCATTTTATCATAATATGTTTTCAAAATATTTCAACTTTCTGTCTAGTTGATGGTAACTGTGTTTCAAGGAGCCTCTACATTCTGGGCATGTCTGAATACAGTCATTAATAAAAATACATATTTTCAGATTTGTATATGAATTCAAACCTTTGTCTGCTTCAGACCGTATGAAAGCATATTCACGGTATGATCTTAAAAACATCTTTACATTCCATTTTAAAAAAAAGACAAATCATATACATTTTTTGTGTAAAATGGATTTGCAGGGTCGTATCAAATGCATGCCCAGACTGTAGAACTCTGTGTTTGTTAGTGTGGTAGGAATATAGTATAATGATCTGAATGGCTGCCGTGCTCCCTCCGCACACAGTGACGGTACGAGGCATCACGCACAGCCATGGCAAACAGTCTGCGTGGTGTGGAAGGAATGGCGTTTTTTAGTTGATTTTACTCTTGTATGTAAATTATTCTTTGAGAAGACTGTACAGTGTACTGTTAATTTCTTGGTACTTGTTACATGACCATTTTGTACAAATGAATTCTGGGTAGAGATTGTGATTTTTAAAGCGTTTATTTGCTCTAACCAAGATGTGTAGAGATCGGTGTGTTTCTTTGTGAACGTGAGAATGGTTTCTATTTTGTTCGTCATTGTCATAAGTCTCATCTTTTTGCAATATGTTCATAAACATTCTCATTCAACATAATCTGTGATCGTTAAACATAAGATCTTCATTTCTGTATTGCTAAAGTGGCCATACTTCATGTCTACATATACTATACAACTTGGTTTGGGCAGCAAATCTCTTACCACTTCTTGCTTCATATAACGAGCTCTAATGATGATATATCCCATAATTTTCTACAAAAATGGATAATTTCAGACTTAAATATTTTTAATTGAACAATCATAACAAAAAATACCTATAATTATTGTCAAGTTCATAATTTGTGAGCACGTTTCAAGAACCATGTTCATTTTCAAAAATATTTTGGAGAATTTATTTTAAATTTTTTAACATTTCACCTAAAGCCTTTTCTCGTACTCGTTATTGTTAAATGTTGGGTATATTTAAGAAAACTGTAAACTCAGCAATGTTGATGTTATTTAAATGCTTGATGTATCATCATTGAGACTTGAGGGCTGTGACAGGGATGAATGAAATGTCTAGATGGTTACCATGGTTACAGCACGTGTATAACACCTGAATTGGGATTTCTTTCCTGTCTTTGAAATATCTCTCAAATCTTTGGTCTCTTATCATATATCCCACTAACAGTGATAATTAGAAACTTGTACGTTTTTTAGAAGCTAACTATTTTTGCAATGTAGGTATGTTTTTACTACTACCATGAAATGGATTTATCAGGGAGTGTCTCTTCAGTTTTAAATAGTACACAGGAATTGTTAGGTTCTAGATAGGCAATAGTGCTACCTGCAGTAGTCATAACCGAAGACATTGCGCACTTGATGTGACGAGATCTGTAACAAAACCAAACCTGCTATGCAATACTGTTATATGTAACTCACGTTGGACAAAAATAAAGATAACTAAAGTATATAAGGTCTGACACAGGTTGAAATTCCGTTGTTCATTTGGTGAGAAAATATTGTCCAAACTTCAGTTCCCCATTGTCGAATGTGAAGTTGTTTATTTATTAACCAGATTTTTCTTAGTCATCAAGGACAATACTTTCTCATGTGCAAGTAAAGAACGACCTCAAGTTGCCTCTTCGTGTCTGCTTGTCCAATTCTAACCCAGTCCATATTACCAACATTTCCTTCTATTTATTTACGTTACCATGGTTACAATATCCCCTGGCATTGAATGCAAATTTCACTGGATGCAAATAATCATGAATTTTGTAAATACTCATTTATCCTATCATACAGAGTATTTAATATATTGTCAGACCAGCTTTAACCTGTAACTGTAAATAGCAAGCTAAGACTTAGGACACCATACTTGAAGGTTAAGGGTCCCTGGCAGTCGGATGTATACCTGCCTCAGCAGTCATTGCTTGTAGTATCGACCAGCTGTCTAGTGACTTTGTTTGATTAGTAGATACCTTAGATTGCGCTCACGTGCCGTCTTTCTTGCATGAGGAGAGACACCACCTTGTCATACCATGTTGTACAGAAATAAAGACATTCTTTTAACTGGATTTTGCATGATGTGTTCGAGTTTGCTCTTTCTCTGTGTGAGAAAATTTTAACTTTCACGAAAAATTTAAGTGGCACAAAAAACGTTTGATTTTGGTCGCTTGATTTTGTGTGTTTTCTTGAGTTGTGACGTCAGCTTCGGAAACTTGGGAAACGAACTGAGGAAGATTGGCCGATTTCTTCTGTGTCTAAGTTTGTCTCCCTCGTTGGCCATCTTCCATCAGCTTGTTTCTCTAGTGCTGGGCTGATCGCAGTGTGCCTGCGAAGTCATTCCAAAATAAATCACCCGTTTGACATACCCGTTTGTGAAGTAACCCTGATCTGTGAATGCAAGTCACATGATAGACTATAACACCTATGGACTAACACACATGGCAACTCTGTCCGCGCCCACGTGCTGGTGGTACTATTCAAGATGGCGGCTGACGCTGAAGCCCCTTGTCCTCTTGCAACTAAAGACTTGGCCGTTCCATTCGCACAACTGCACCTAAAGCTACTGCTTCCTACGACTGCTTCCATGTCAAAATATAATATAACACAATCTAGACACAATCACAGGTTAGTTATTCAATCACATTTTCCAGACAATTTCTTAGTTAAAGATTTTCATTTCATCAAACACTTACCATTATTTTTAAAATTTATTTTATTGTTTTTTTATATACAGATCTGACTTGTCAGTTTAATTATCGTAATTTACACTTTGTCTTGATAAATCTATGATGGTTATGATTTCATTTTACCAATTAACTTTGAAGTTGTTTTCTAGAAGTTAGAACTAGTGGACTAAGTGCATGTCAGTTTCCGTTGATACTATGTCTAATTCTGGGGTGAATTTGGCATCTTGCATGGCAGTGTGAACCCTTCGGTGCTGAAAACCAGTCATCTAATTTTGGAGAGTATATCTTTGTTATATTGATATATCTTGTGCGACCTTAGTTTTATTCTGAAAATGTTTCAATTGTTCTTTTTATTCTAAATGTTATATATTTATTTTTGTTGACTGTTAATTACTATTTTGATTCTTTAGACTGCATGCTCGACTTGTCTTTCCCTGCTAATTCTGTTACCTCTGCCAGGCTTTTCAGGATGTGACTAAGTCCTTTTATGCAATGAAATATCAAAGATGAAAGTCTAAAGTTAATGATAAAAAATTGAAAAATTTGGACATTTTGCCCCAGTATTCAGTGAACCAAGTTGGAACCACCTACGTATCTTAAGATTAATACTCTCTTACAGAATATTGAAATATTTAAGGACAGGTCACTATTTTGCTCTCCTTGTCTCTCCTATGTTCCTCTACCAATCGCTGATAAAACTTTGGGGATCTACATTTTTTATGGTTTTATTCATGTTTGTTTAGTTATTTTTTGGGTGTGTATTGGTGAGAACTGGACTGATCAGGGAAGTTTGGATGTGAATATTTTTGGTGATATTTTTTTTCATTGTGAAACTGCTGTCTTCACTATGAAAGAATATCCCCTGAAAATATTCATGATCATTAGCGTTTATTTGTTCAAGCAATCTATACATTATTACAAAAGACTGGGAATCAGTTGTGTGACTTGTACCCATTGTGGATCTGTGTTTACACTGCTGGTTCTCTGAGACCGACAGACCAGGTCATTCTGACCGCCATTGTTCTGCTGTGATATTGCTGACCATGAGTCAAGCCTTTTAACTCAGATTCACTCTTAAATATAATTCCTTAAATTCAAGACAAATAAGGTTTTAATATGGAAAAGTCGTAGTTAAGTACTTTACACTTTCAAGAATGATGCGAGGACGATACGGCAACTGCAGGTACGTTACGTGAATGACAACTTCGTCTAACCCTTGGGACTGGGCGCACACTAATATTCAAATGTACGAGTAGCTGTTTTCATTACATCAATAACGTTTAAGGGTTAACACCTACAAAGTTTCGCTTTCAACACAAATTTTATAAATGATTTGAACTTTTGGTGTAAATGACAGGATTGCTTTAGCTTTAATAAGCAATTTGTTCGGCCTCTGCTGCCAGTTATGGTGTTATTCTTTTACTGATGTTGCTGACATATCTCTAAGTGTAGAACAAAGGTCGAGGTCATTTCCTGATGGGTCATTCTTTGTCCTCTTTCAGATCTTCCTGGCTTTTTCTGATTGGCTGACGCCAAGATGTGATACTCTCGAGACCATCATGACAGGTCATGTGATCCACTCCACACGAGACCAGCAACCTCGTACTTGCACTCTAGCCTGCCGTCTCTTGGCAAATCGCGCTGGAATGCATTGACTTTGTGTGCGCCGCAAATGATTTAGCAAAGTGTGCATTTATTCCGCCAGGTTGGATTGAAACCCATATCATCTTCAATCTCGGCCTGGCGGCAGACCGACGCAAGCTCATAGTTAAAGAACGCCTATCAGTGCGCGTATACGTGCGTAGTTACAGAAGTGTAGTTATGCATGACATGGTATGTCTGTTCTCTTGTGGATTTTACTGATTTTTACGAACTTCTATATTTCAAATTTTATCTTCAAGGTATTTTTATCTTATATACGTAAGTATTGCTTGCAAAACATGGACATCTCCTGGTGGGTATATGGAAAGAGTTGGAGCCAAGATCAGTCTTGTGGCGGAGTTCTTAATTCAGCCTACGCTTTTCCAGTTATGCCGGGTGTCTTTGAGGCAGCCCCACGCAAGCCTTACGTCCCCTACGATTACCGCTAGAGCGGTGCAGCAGCCAGACATCGGCGGCGATGGACTATTGGAGAAACAGTGCGGGTTGCCGGGTCTCACTGTGGTGGTACACAGCTATCATGTGATGGAGGATGTCGGGAATACGTACTCTTCCTTTGCTGTTTATGTTCATTTTTCCCAGCGTGCAATTAGTTTGTGGCCTTGACCTTGGCTGTTGGCGCCCTCTGTTGATACTTCTAGCCTACAGTTTAGGAGATCCTGAACTCCTAAACGTGTATGTTTCTGATTTCGTGTTAAGTAGTAAAGTGTGTGCCTACGAGTGATCTCTTCATCCAAGTATTGAAGATATTAATGTGAATAATCGGGACACCTTCTCACCGTATTGGATGTGATGAGCGAAGATGCAACGACAGGTCTGACTTGTAACTATTATAATTATTATTATATTCTCCTATGATCATGGATGCCTGGCTTGAGTGTGTGTAAAATAGAAGAGATTTATATAATTCTGTCAAGTCTCATTCATCTGCGATCTGACTCACGACTGCCATGTTTATCGGACAGATGACCTTGACCTTGGAGCCTCCTTGACCTTGGATCATTCTGTGCCACGGGAAGTTTCTGAACCTTTATTCATGCAACTTTGTTACTATTTTGTGTGGTGAAGATTTAATGTTTAGAGGTTAGGGAAGCTTTTGTTCATATTGGCTGTTATTGAGATCATATACATCATAACTGTTTACCACATTGCCAAAGAGTTATCCTTCCTCTTTGCAAATAAGTTCCATACTTCGAGGTAAGTTGTACAGACACCAAATTAATATAATCACAAATCCTGGATTGATCAAATTGGATTTTATAGGGATATATTTAGATCGTTAATTTATCTGGGCTAAGGCAACGAATATATACTTGGGTTGACTTGTATCATATTCCCATGAAATGTTACCTCAGATGGAACGTGAGTCTGCTGTTTGGGGCCAGGGGGACAACAAATCGTCACACTTATGCAACAATTCTCACTGGGGAAGCTCCAGTATTATCAAAGATGGCCGCTAGATGCTCAAGGGAGGCAACTCCAAATCCTAACTCTTGTGATACCAGGAGGTGGAGTGAGACAGACAGACATAGGAACCCTTTGGTGGAATCTGCCATGCGGACCCCCTGTAGTGCCACCCTGGCCCCACACGGAGGAACAGATTTTATTTTATGTAGATATAATCCTGATTTGTACATTTCCTATAGATTAAAGTATCGGTTTTCTACAAATCTGAATGTGTTATATATAGTGTAGTTTAGTATGACTTTGGAAGTTCTTATACTGGCTTGAAAAGCATCAAACCGTGACCGGAACCTAGTGAAAGGGGTAGCCCTGTGGCAGGCGTCAACACATTTTTTAAGCACATTTTTATGTTGGTTTTGAGAAAATCTGCCTCTCTGCACCAAAACACACACTGGACATTCTGTCTGACCATGTGTATTAATTATGGCTGACACATCAATTCAAACATTTACAGGTTGGCTCAGTTCCTTGCTGACACGTCACATTTCTGCTGTTATCCAGGATGTAATCAACATGAACCATACTCATAATTTTATCAGAGAATGTTTATTATGGTGCATATTTGAACAAAACTGCAGTGACCAATATGCAATTCCATTTAGAACATGGTCAAATGTAACATGTTATATTTGGGATTACTTCTCAGTGTACTTTTGTTGGGTTGAGTCCCATCCGGGAGCCACTAGTGGAAGCCGCAGTGGGCAAGATGACTGTGTGCTGGTGATAAGGTGCCTGACTCTGGGTTCGAATCTCGGATGTGACTGAGTACTAGAATCTGTACTTTATTGCGAAAGTGTAATCACAAATATAACATGTTGGATTGACCAAATCACAAATAGAATATGAAGCAGGATCGAGTTCCAATGTGTGATAGTGCCTAGATGTTCATCATGCTGTATAGTTGGCTTGTGACAGTTGACACTCTTCTACCTTTGCTTTGTTGAACTGGGACAACATAGTGTGATCATCTGGTCATTGTTTAATCCGGCAGCTCTCAATTCCCTCCACCCGGAGATCGGAAGGTCGCGGGTTCGATCCCCGACCACGTCATAGCAAAAGACGTTAAAATATGGTACTTGTTGGTCCCTGGCTGGCGCTTGGCATTAATGGGTACAAGGACTGGTCGGCTCGGAGTCGGTATAATGTGTCTGAGTGGGGTATTCATGCTTCACTGCAGCATGGTATCTCAGTGGGCTAGCACTATAAAACCAGCTTCAGTCTGGGCTAGTACAAGCAGCCGCATATACACATACACACATGCACGTCGTCATATGAGCGAAATATTCTCAAGCACGACGTTAAACCTAATTTCACCTCTCAATTCCCAGGCAGAGTTAATGGTTGCATTTGGAGTGCAAGTGTGTCCGTGTTCATTGCATTGGACAAACTCCTAGTTCAAGGTCACAACAGGTCTAGCCCAGGATAATTATTTTAGTCCAGCCGATCACATTTCACAGATTGTGGCAATGTTATACTTAGGTGTATTTAAAGTACAAGTGTGATGTCGGTGTTCATTGCCTTTGGGCATGGTTCAGGGTCCCAAATGGTCCCATACAAGATGACTTGACTGATAGGTTTTATGGTAATGGTCCCATTTCACAAAGCTATCGTTGTGCTATGACTGTCGTAAGTCTGTTACCGTATAGGAGGTACGACAGTCGTAGCGCTACCATTGTTTTGTGAAACGGGGCCCAGTGTTAGACATGCTTTGATGTACAATCTGACCCATTTCACAAAACTATTGTAGCGCTACGACTGTCGATAGCTTTGTGAAACGGGGTCCTGGACACTGGTGATACCATTAACGTCGGGTCCAAGCCTGATTAATAACTGACTGATACAGCTGGAATGTTGCTGACTGGTAGATGACATACAAACATCACACAAGTCTCTAATATCCCATGCTGAAGTGCATCAATAGCACTCCATGTTGCCACGGTAGTGGGGTAGTTCGTGGTTATAGCGCTCCCTCACTATTCGTTGTTTAACACTCTGCAATATTCCAGCTCCAGGACTCGGGCCAGTAAAACATTAGTCTTGTGATCAACAATCCCTGCCATTTACATGTGATGACCACCCATTGCATTTGGTTGGAATAGATCTTCAGCAATGACAAATGGGGTGGACTAAGTGCTCATTATGTTGATCACTGGATTGTGTGGTCCAGACTTGATTATTTACAGATCGCTGCCATATGGTTGGAATAATGCTGGGTGGGGCATTAAACAAACAAAACATTTAGTTATGACCAGCAATCTAAATCTTCATTGGATGAACCAATACAGATCGGAACCCATCTGGCCATCTTTAGTTTAATAATTACAAATTCTTACCTGAAACAATCTTGTGTCAACACGTTTTTACTGTGCAGTAAATATTGTAATGCAGCAGTAGAGACAATTGTTACACTGAGAGGACATTCTGGAGCCGGGACAATAATGGTAAAGCATACGACTTAATGGGTGACTTTAGTTTTACGCCGCACTCAGCAATATTGCAGCTATATGGCGGATACGACTTTATAGATAACTTCTTGTTTATAATTTGTATGCTTTACTTAAATTGACTTGCCAATTTGCTGAAGCCAATCAATCGGGGACTAATGGTAATCTGATACCCATAAACAAGAAAACACTTTCACAAATGACATCTACCATTTTATTCTGAGGAAAGTAATGTATATCTCCCAATGTAGTGTGTGATGAAGCGGACATATCCACAGGATACAAGATAAGACAGGACAACAGCACCGAAGCAAGAAGCAAAGGATAGACAGACAGCATACAGTGGACACGATTCCAAGTTCATACAATTTCTGGTAAGGAGAAAGCACAGAGTTATCTGACCTTAACAGGGGCAAGCACGTCAGAACTACTTTTTCCAAAAGAACTATTTTCTCCCCCTAATTTTGTATGGTTGCAGATTGTTTTACAAAGGGACATTACTCCACACCTTTTAATAAGGAATGGAATGTTTCATTGACCATGTGGACAGTTCAAGATTGTTGGTACTTTGTCTCGCTTGGAAACGCTGTATGGTGAAGAAGGATTGGACTGCATACTTTTTTTCTTTTTTTTAACGTCTGCTGGTTGAACATCATTACTGAGATCGGGGAGTTTACAAAAATCAATATCAGAAAAATGAGATGAATGCAAAGAACTTTGATCTTTTCTGACACTTGATATCAAAACAGGAACTGCTACAAAACAAATTCAGATCTTAAACCTTCAACTATTAACAAGATTTACAATGATTATTCATTGTACACAAAAATGGCAAGTAATCATTGATTAATTAAAACCACTAACTAGAAAAAGAGGATAGCTTAAATCAATAAGTATTAACACTGATAATAGACACACATTTAAGATATACTCTAATATTGTAAAACAGTACAAGAAAAGTACAGTACTAAAATTCTATCAAGTAAGTTTTGTTTGACCCAAAGTTCACAATTCACGCAGAAACATTCAAAACTAGAGTTGTCTCCCTTGGTGGAGATCACGTTTTTGTTCATGACTTTGGGATGTGAGACATTCAAAGAAATATAAATAATTTAACAGTTTAAATTACTGTGAGTAACATTCCATTATTACCAGGTTGTTATTATTGCATATCAGCATATTGTATATTTTTCCGTATTGTGTTCTGGTCTGTTGTGTTGACTGCTAAAATGCAACCAAATCCAACTTTCAGACAATGCGTGCAACTGAAAGTCATATTTATATAACGCACTTCCAAATTTCATGACTTTGTGGAGTTGTAAAATCACTTCTTTCATAGTCCAAGAAACGACATCGGTGTTTCTGAAAACAAAATTTGATATTTTTAAGAAAGATTTATAAAGTGCACGATAAAACATGGAAAATCTTACATTGCCTCAACATTATTCAAAATATTTAGAATTGTTTGAAGTTAAGATTTATGTACTGGTATGTCTCCCACCCCTCAGAGAATAAATAATAAAAAGTCAAGATTGTTTCAGTTATTAGTGAGTAAGGGTATGGGTATGGTTTTACACCAATTTTAGCAATATTCCAGCAATGTCACGGTGGGGAATGCTAAAATTGGTCTTCTACCCATGTGGGGAATCAAACCCTGGTCTTAGGCATGACAAGCAAATGCTTCGCCACCAGGCTACCCTACCGCTCAATAAGATTTATGGACAGCAACTTTTGTAATAAACTGTTATATCACTGTTTCAGTTTAAATCCTAAAGCACTTGTCATTATTCATTCTTCCTGACAATGGTATAGCATCTCAAACCGAAATATCCTAATAAAAGTATATAAGTATAGGTTGTTATCAATAAATGGTGTTAAAGTAACAGGCAGAAATCTGCTTCTCTGCCACTGTGTACCGTTTGTGTGATCAAGCAATATTGTTCAGTATTAGCCATTACTTACTGTGACTGACAGGTTATTAACTGGCACCGGCACCATTGCTCTCGCCAGCGCCTTCCACCTGTTGTTCAGCAGCTAGGAAACAAATAAATGGATAAAAAGCTGCAAATCAATTCACAAAATCCACATTTTTTTAATACAAAATTCCAATAGTTCAAACCATTAGTTCAGTTATCCTCGTGATATTATGGTTAAGTGCGTAAGTACCCTGGATCAATTTGCCACTGTAGATCAGATATTGGAGATGACCAAGTGTTTAGTTATTTTAACATGAGTGATAGTTGGGTAATAGAATCGGTGAGTTTTATGCCACTTTTAGCAATATTCCAGCAATATCACAGCGGGGGGCATCAGAAATGGGCTTCACACATCGTAGCCATGTGAGGAACTGAACCTGGATATTAGGTGTGGCGAGTGAACGCTTTAACTACTAGGCTACCCCACTGGCCATGACAGATTAATTATACTGTCACTGACTTTTGAGTCTTAGATAATTGGGATACGATGACGTGTCAAAAATTCAACTGGAATGACCAACCGATCCTGTTAGTCGCCTCATACAACAAGCATGGGTTGCTGAAGACCAATTCTAACCCAGATTTTCACGGGTTCTTCTATTGAATAGTGCATGTGGCAATGTGGTTTAAATTTTTGGCGATTTTCTCTCACAAAGTTTGGGATATATTTCATTAAATCATGGTGGGTCAATCCAAAATACAATCCTAAAGGTAGTCAGTATCCTAATCCTAAAGGTAGTGTGGCCTCGTCTACTCACCTCGGCGCGCACTTCGCTTCTTCTCATTTAAGTGGAGGACAAGGGAGGCAATCAGCTGCATGTACTCCGCCTGGAACAAACAACATGGACGTCACCTCACTGTGTGGGACACGCTGACAAACATAATATACAGCAAATATTAGTTGAGGCTGGACATATAAACATTATTTTGCAAGCACAATGCATATTTTCTTTTTCTATATTTTCTATTTTATAATTATCATATCAAAAACATAAGGATAACAATTTCTTTAGGCCAGCCAATTGTATTTCTTGTTTTCTGGATCCGCCGGTCGTATTTTTTCAAGAATAAGAAGGAAAAAAAAGTTATTCCCAGGTCACAAAATAAAATCCTAATGTTTTATCGGTCAAAATGTAAATGTGTTTTGCCACATATACACTTCATAAATTGCCAAAATCAAAATACTTTTAGTATTTATTTATTTTTATTTTAAAAAAACAAACAAATTCCTGCCTTTAGGACAAAAATCCGTAAAACAAGAAATAAACTTGGTGTGGCCTTATCATGTAATTCAAATAACCTCAACTTGACACATACTGCTATTCACTATGTATAGGGATAGACCATTTTGAACCTGATGTGAACCTGACTATTGGTCGAGCGTGTTGTTGCATAGTAAATGGATATATATTATTAAAAAAATATTTCAAACATGCATAATACATATATTCTATCCAATTTAGACAATATTTACAATACAAAAAAACATCGGGGAAGTAATTTCTTTATCAGATAATGTCATGATTAAAATAATGGTTACGATACTGCCAATTTACTTCCTGGAATGGTGATTTTTACACAACAGGATCTGTGTGTTCTAACCTATATACATCATTTTCAACAGCCAGAGAAACTAAGCACCTAAAATGTTTAAACAACACATATGATGAGGATTCTTCAACTGAAATTAATAAACTATGACAACCCTGTATCCTACTCATTGGCGACTTCCCAAGTGTAGTACAGGGGTTGTAAGTAGGTCACGGCGCGTCGCGAGACCTTAGTACTTCCAGTGACCGTTTCATACCTTTTCGAATGGTTGTCAGTTGACAGTAAGGAACCAATAATCCTTGCAGGAATAACAAATTTCCGATCTACCCATCCCCAAATTAGCCAACTATTACTACTGTCAACAGCTGTCACAGCCAAGCATGGTTGTACACTTGGTCCGGTCTAGTGAAGTCATATTTGGCGGTCACGCAATTTGGAACCAGAACTTGTTCTTGAATATACGCTTGTCACCGGAAATCTGGTACTGGAAGTAAGGTGGGCCCCGTCTCGCATATCCCAAGTTGGTACATGCAAAGGGAGCTGGGAACCAGCTTAGTACTGGAAGTAGCACTTCGCGAAACTTACAGGCTCTATACAATTTACACTGGACTAACTTGTGCACATTCATCAATCTCAAAGAGTGAGTGAGTGAGTTCAGTTTTCTTCGAGGCGTGACGAGCGAACGCTTCAACCACTAGGCTACCCCACAGCCCTTCTTATTGAAGAGAATTAGTTCAGTCAGGGTTAAATGCAGGGTGAAAGACAAAATCCATTGGAAACTTAATAAAAATTGAAAAATAATGTGTCTATTGATATAGCGCCAAACTCCACACTAGGCATGCTCATAGCGCTAACAATGAACAGCACAGCACATTATTACCCTGGATAACCCAAGCTGCCAGTTAGGCGCTAGAAAGTTATAGTCACATGACTTATCCCACCGGGTTTCCATTTTCTGCTGGGTGAACATCATATAAACTGGATGGATGGAGGTATGGACGGACAGACAGATGGATGGATGGAATTTAACTGCTCCATTTATTATATATGTAAAGATAAGATAAGATAATACTTTATTATCCCAAAGGAAAGTTAATAATAATATAATAATAGTTCATTTATAAAGCGCATATTTCCATGCACAATGCATGCTCAAAGCCCTGATGTCAGGACGAAAAGGCTTTATTATCCTGAAGGAAAGTTTTGACAAAAACTATACCCAATGGATTCTGGGTAAGAATTGTTCCCCAGTAACATATGCTGGGCGTAAGAGATGACTTGATAATAATACAACAGCATGGAAGTTTTGGTCATAATATCAATTACTGGTTGTCTCGTCCAGACTTAATTGTTTACAGGCAACCATCAAATACCTTGAACAATACTGAGTAGGTCATTAAACAACAAATGCACACATCTGATTGCCATTTGAACAAAAAGAATGGTATGAAACTAAATTTATGTCATGAGGAACCCCCATGTTCTATTTCACTAGACACATCGCTAGATACCATTACCTCCATGCTTGACATTTATTTAATAGTAAAATGCAGCATTTACGTGGTGAATAACGAGACTGGTTCACATAAAGGTCAGCACATTATCTGTTGTTCCTGTCATAAAGCTTTTCAAATATCGCCATCATTGAGTCCAGAAGGCTGGAACATGCACAGATTACAATACTCCAATCAATGACCATATACCCGTTCTACCTGTGTGTACCTGTTGATTGGACAGGTGGAACAGGTCAAGTGCCAATTAGATTACCTATGGACACTGTGGGATTAACAGAGCATATCAATTTATGGAACGGGGGGGAGGTGGGTTCGGCCTTTGATACAGGCAGTGACTCATTTTCATTGTTCAAGGAGTCTATATACTCTCCGCCTGGCTTGTTATCACACACTGTTCAGGAAGCACACTGTATTCAGTCCCTCCCTGCTGTATGGAGCTATTCTGTTTTATTGAAACTGAAGCACATTTTATTTGCATAGCCTTATTCTTGGGAAGTGGGTTATCCTCACACCACAGAATCAGCAAATGTTCTTGAAAGAATATTTTGGCTTAAATATGGTCACCTAATGAAGATTTAACAATCATAAATTTCAAAATAAAATTGAAACACCCAAATACTGTCTATAAACCCTGTGACACCTTAAACCTCGTGAACAGCAGAAAAAATATAATGCTGAGATATTTAAGCAAAATATTACTATGTTTTATTATTTCTGTCATTAATATAGAAAAACAAAGTGCTTCTGTTGACTGTTTTAGGACTGAAATACAGGATAAATATGTGGGGGACATTATTCGTGAGTCAAAGGGCCAAACTTTTAAAACATTAGAAGAAGTTCATTACATGCTGTTGGAGTTGTTCTAATTCTGTGAGGTTAGGTGTTGGTCTTATTTGGTGTTGGCCATAGTCAGCAATATTCCAATAATATGGCAGCCTCTAAATAATCAACTCTGGGCCAGACATGACTGACATTATGAGCAACAACCCATGCTGCTGTAATATGCTGAGATTCAAACAGGTCACACATCTTGACTACCCAATCAATTTCAGCTCTTTAGATGGTTGCTGCAGCCATATCGGAGCCTGAATCCCGATGTATCCATTACTTATCAACCAGACACTGATGCTCACCCGACTTTTGGCATTACTGTAAAGGACATTTTCCATCTCTTCACTTGTGTTGGTTCCAGGTTCGAGTTCCGCACCTTCCCGAGCTGCCTCTCTGTAACACAAACATATCAAACATCAAACTCATGACCAGCTGCTGATTCAAAGACATTTAGCCAGTTGCTTCTACATGTGATTTATGCATCGCACCATATAAGGATATACACGATGATGTCATTCCAACCACAGACCGACCATCTACATTCCCAGATATATACTACTCAAAAAAGTATGCCTATAGTGATACAAAAGACTCAGGGGGTCCTTAACCTTTTTTGAGTAGCCTATATCTTGGGGAATGTGGATGGTCAGTCCGTGATATTTACAATATCGGATTTGAGTTGAGTTGAAATGTCGGTCACATTGACATGATAGGAGGTCGCTGACCTAGTTGCCAAACTGAATTATTTATCGTCCCCTGGTCATCACAACGAACAGCTATTGACTGTATGCAGGGTTTGATACAATCAGCCATAAGCTGTACTTAGCATTCTGAGTTATGTTGTATTGATGGCTTTATTTAGACATCTCTTATAGGGAGACTATGCTATCTGGTACCACTAGCAGTCTATAGTCCTTTTGGCTCAAAAGCGGACCGATGAATTGCAATCTGACTCGAAAACTAATAAACATAAAATACTTAATGAAACACTGATCATAATCAAAACGTCAGACCAGCCCTGTGTGAGTTTTTGCAGAATTTATGTCCTAAAAATAGAAAAGTTGTTTAACAAACTATCGTTAAAATATTGACACAGGTCACTATTTGTTACGAGGGAGGAGTGCAGAGAAAGGGACAGCCAGGTGTGCGAGAAAGGATGGAGACGGCACAGCACAGGTTAATGAATCAATAACTTCGTCGGCACTTGTGCACGAGCTTCTCTAACACCTGGCTGTCCCTTTCTCTGCACTCCTCCCTCGTAACAAATAGTGAACTGTGTCAATATTTTAATGATAGTTTGTTAAACACCTTTTGTAATTTTAGGACATAAATTCTGCAAACAAATCACAGAGTTGGTCTGATGTTTTGATTATGATCAGCGTTTCATTGAGTATTATATGTTTATTAGTTTTCGAGTTAAATTGCAATTCATCAGTCCGCTTTTGAGCCAAACGTACTATAGTGTTATATTTAGTGCCATGTTTTGAAACTGAGGCCTTGATTCTGCTTAATTGTTTTATTAATTGTTCTTAACATGACCCAATCATACTGGGACTGCCATTTTCCCGAGTCAAGTCCCCATTTAAATTGAAATAAGACACGAGGACTGGGAGAGTCCAAATGTACTCCAATTGTAGCTAACCCTCATCAACCAACCCTCATCTCCCAACCCTCCTGAGTACATGCTGCAAGTATATCCAGTGTGTGAAATAGCCACTGGCCTGCTAACCTGTGGCTAGTAGAAATCCAGTCGGGCCAGTAAATCTCCACAGTCACTGGCCCAACTAATGAATTTTCATTTTGTAAATATTTCACTCTCTCTCTGACTTGTTAAGTTAGATACACTTTTAAATCATGCAGATTATGGCCTGATAAAAATTTTCATCATGTTAGCAGCTTAATGATGAAGCACGTGTAATGCCCACAATATCTTATTCTCATCTATTTTTGTAATCTTTTGCTTAGTTTCTACATTCAAATTTCGGGCTAGTGATTTTTTTGTGGGCTAGTAACTTTCAGGCATAGCTAGCCCAGCTGGCTAACAAAATTTGGAAACTATTTTGCACACTCCAAGTATCAAGTGTTGGGTACAAAATGTCCGGGCCTGGCAAAAACTCTTCATATGCATGCATAAAACTGTCTTACGATACATACACTAAAGTTTATTTCTACATAAACATATAAAACTCAGAAGGAATACCAGAGAAGTCAGAAAGAAATATTGACATTAATGACTTGTAACCATGGAGATTTATTGTTATTGTCATTAAACAATATATCACATGACTCACAACAGGTCAGGGTAGCCCTGTGGGTACCCGGGTTCTACCGTGACCTGCCCGACCTGAGTACCCAGTTACCCGTCCCAGTGCTACGTGCCACTACACTCGCTTCAATGTGGTCCTACGATATCCAGAATGAGTCAACATGACAGTCAAATTTTTGTGTATAAAACACTTCATTCCTCATCATGATGTCAAGGGCCACGCTATGAATTGTTTGTTAACAAAGATCTTATTACCAGCTACAGACAGGTGCTAGCTGGTTGTCCTACACACTGTACAAACAAACATAGAAAGCTAACACAGTAAACAATTCTGTATATCTGATAAGGGTTTTACATTCATAAGGCTTGACAGATTGTGCCTTCAATATTGATAAAATATACTTCTAATCCCACTATAAACAGTCATACTATATTTATGTACATAGAAATATTTTGATATAGACACAATGTTTATAGAAAATAACTGCTGACACATTCTCACTGAAATTGTATTTCAGAGATTTATAAATCAAGAGATCTGCTGACCATCTATTCACACTACATTTCAAAAAGACTTCAGTTCTGTGATTGGCTGAAATTGTCTTGATGGCCGTAACAAGACGCAGAAATATTTCCACCCTCCGGCCCTCCGCATAATTCGTGGGTGATAAATCTTCATGACATTTATCTAAACAGGACAAGACCCGGGGCTGATAAGTATTATCTGAAATCTGAAAGGATCTTATAATGACAAACACAGAGTGAGTGAGTGAGTGAGTGAGGTAAAAGTGAGTTTTATACCCTGTTACAGTATGTCCTCATTCTCTGGGATGACACTGACAGCTGTTTTCCCTTGAGGAAGAAAGTCTTATGGATGTCAACTTCTTTATTATTCCTCATGTGTATCACTTCTAAATGTCATTCAAAGAACTCTTTTCCCTTGCTGAATCCAAAAAGCATAGCATGGTGATAACAGAACATGGCTCTCATATTCGAACCCAGCCTAGTGGATTATAAGATGTATGGGAGATAACTCTGTACAACCAATTGCAGCATCCAATGGATTACTGAGTCAAACATGCCTCAGTCTGTCTTACTGTCCCTGAACCATAGTGTTTTCCTTTCTGCCCAGTTCTATCATAATGCTGCAGCCACAAAAGACTGACTGACTGACTGAGTTTGGTTTTACACCGCTTTTAGCAATATTCCAGCAACATCACGGCAGGGGACACCAGAAATGGGCTTCACACATTGTACCCATGTGGGGATTCGAACCCGCAGCCACAAAAGAAGCATGTATAGGTTTTCCACAGATTCAGGTCTCCAACCACTTATCTCACTCATGATCCTTTTCTTTATGAATGCCGTCAATGTTTTTCAAACTGTTTATCAAATTGTACAGAGACTAAACATTATGATAAGAATGTCCTTTCAGACAAACTAATGGCTGCAGGTGTCGTGCAGGCCTTCAGAATTATGGCAGCTAATAGAGACTAGCGTAGCTCTCACTTTGGGCTCTTATATAGTATTAGTTACAAATTGTGAATGATACGATGTCTTGGAAATGAATGTTCAGTATTACCAACAAATTAGTAAACGAAAAGTTTATCTGGGGTCGACACCATTGGTCAAATCCAATGCTAGACTGTTGTTCAGGGCCCTTTCCTCAAAGCGATCATATCGCTATGACAGTCGTAAGTCTATGTTAAAGTATGCGAGTTACGATCATCTTAGCGCTTACGATGGCTTTGAGGAATGGGGCCCAGTTCGGGCTAGTGGTTTATATAAAACAGCCAGAGTTTGGTAGAAAACTGAAATCAGTTAGGAATTTCTTAAATCAGACAAACAGACTAGTTATAGTCTAGTTATTTCTACCCATGCTGTGAGTCTAAATGTTATCAATTGTTTTCTGTGGCACACTTTATATGCAGGCAGTCGAATCAACTAAAGGGAGATAACTGTATTTGTATTCTTATCACACCACCCACCCTTGTTAAACATGCATTGAAGAAACATGTCATAGGTTATTCTGCAGTGTTCACACAGCTCCTAATATCACTTCCCCTTTGGCAATACATGTAGAAACATGTATCCTCATTAATACAGCATAAATACCCACAGCTAGGCGCAGCGCAGCAATAAGTGGAATTCTAATTCAACTTAGTATTTAACACGAGTTCTGATTGGTCAATGCTTTAAATTTCCGACCGTATAATCAGCATATATGGTCACAATTTGAAAACCGATTTACCAAAACCTTTGAATGTATCCCTTCACAATTGGGGTAACGCTGCTTTCCAGGGGATTGTCATTTGCATAATCCCTTGGCCAATTAACTCCCCTATCCAGCTAAAATGGGTGGAATGTGTGTTAAAAAAGACAAAACAGTATCATAAATGTAATTTTAAGTTCAAACAACTTACTCGCAATGGGCTGTTGACCCAGCACTGTTAGATCATGAAACAAGATTTATGACGTCATTATGGAGCGTGACGTCATGTCAATTGACAACAGAACTGATAATGGCCCGTAGTTGAGGAATCTGAGCGGGCCGCTCATTTCTGATAAGTAGAGAGTGGCTTCATCATAATTCCGTCCATTTTATCTATAACACTATGATTTATTCATCATTGTCAGATTTAGACAGTGTGCACATAATAAACGTGTTGAAGTTTGAATAGGGAACTACTTTTTCTGGCGATGGTGTAAGTTCAAGGAGTAATATGATTAACCTTTGACCTACAGGAACTTTGACCTGGATTAAATAATTACTTTCTTTCACGAAAAAACAGCATAAAACGAGTTGAATTAGAATGGGGATAACTGTATTGTGTTTGACGAATTGGGGATGTATATACCTAAGTAACTAAACTGAAACATAGCTTATTGAGGAGCGAGTGAGTTAAGTTTTACGCCGCTTTTAGTAGTTTTAGCAATATTCCAGCAATGTCATGATGGGAAACACCAAAAATGGGCCTCACACCTTGTACCCATGTGGGGAACTGTTTCCAGGTCTTCGGGTGTGACGAGCGAACACTTTAACCACTAGGCCACCCTACCAAGCTTACTTTAAACTCACTATAATCCACCTATTTATATATAAAATCAAACTAAGTATAATAATAAA